TGCACTACAACCGATATGCAGTGTAGCCTCTATAGTAAGGATACCCTTTATAATAAAGATATACTTTATACAGTAAAGGCAGCTAGCGAGAGGCTACACTGAAGTGTTGTATAATCTCTTACTCTTTCTTCTCTTTCCTTAGTCAGTAGTATTGTTAAACTAGCATAGAGGAAACTAAATCCAAGTCCAATTGTGACGGCAATCGTAATACCATGGGTTTCAAAAGAGACTCGACTTAAAGAACTTAACTGTGACAGAAATTTTTAATAATACAACACATGCAACTTCTATTATCAATTCTTACCTCAGTGGTGAGAGATGAAGTGAAGGGATGGTTAGTGACTGTGATGCTTAAATTTGAATTGAAACTTTTAAGGTAAAGATTATAAAATGAGTTTAGTACTACAGGAGCAGTATGATAGGCCTGGAAATAAGAAATAAATAATAATAATTAGAAAAGCATGTACATGTACCTTGTGGTTATACCAAACGGTAGCCGTAGGAACAGAACTGACAACTGGTGATGTACGACCAAACTGACACTGTGAATCAACACATTGACACTGATACTGAGACAAATCACACGATGCTTGATCAATACAAGCTGCTAACGTCCCGGAATAATCCTGATTCCAATCAGAAGGTGACGTCAAGAGGTGACAGTCTGGATCACTGTCGGTAAAAGCTGAACAGAAATCATTCACAAATGAATCAATTGAGTTAAAAGTGACGCTTGTTGGGACGTCATTAAGTGAAGAGAGGAGAGCTGGAGTGAGGTAGGAACAGGTTTGACTTGTATTGCTACAGCCGCAAACAGCATATCCTGAGACTGGAGTGTTGTGGAGGACAAACCCACCCTGTAAATAAAGTGTTCTAGTGTCAAAGGAGTATCAATATGTGTTGCAAAATGTATAGAAAGTTTGGACCAATTCCAATCAAAATTGGATTTTTAAATAAATATTTAAAGTTGGCTAAAAATGGACTATAGTACAGGGTATTTTGCCAAAAAATGAATAAGAGAGAATTCTCCATTTTCATTATATTCTGTGTTTACCTGAAATAAGGTCTCAAACAGACCAATATTAATTTTCTCTATGTACTGCAATATCTTCTCGGCAGTATAAGTATTAACGTCATCAAGAGGTCCAGCTGGATCTGTCATGGTTCTATCAGCTAGCGAGAGAACAGGAGGGGCAGGACAGAACACAGCATCATTAGGATAGAGACTCTCGGCACTGGGGTCACTGCAGGATGGTATCTTGAAACCTCTAGCCGTGCAACAACTGAAGAAAATAAATAAATAAATAAATAAAATTAATAATAATACACAAATAATATTTAATATAATATTAGCAGACCTTAGGCAGTTCATGCAAAGTGAGTATCCAAAATCAGAGTTGGTGCATTCACTTAGCTCCTCCTATTAAAGGACAATATTTATTATTATTATCAGTGTTCCAAACTCATGTTCTTACAGGTGTCCTGGTTGCACAGTACTTGTCTAAGATCTGATATTTATAACTGCAGCAATCACTGGCACTGCTGATATTAGCCACTGATGATCTGATGGACTCTATGTCACTTGTGAAGTCCAAGAAATCTGTTGCTTGAATAGCAGTTGCATTATCAGCCTAAGAAAAAACAGAACAATTATTAACAAGGCAATGAATTCTTATTACAAATCTTAAGATATTAAGTGCATGGACAAAGCATAGATACTGTGTGCAAAGTGGGACAGGAGAGATAAAGAAAGAGGGAGGGAGGGAGGGAAGAAATTTTAAGTTTACATACGCCAAATTGAATAGGAAAGTTATTTCCAAATTTAGCCCAAAATAACGTGATGTTGCTGCTCTCTTCAGCAAGATCAGGAAACGTCAATGTTAGTTCTGTGACTCCAGTTGAGTCTGTGGTGTCAAATTTTATAATGAGCAAAGTGAGGAGGACAAAAAATATTGGCAAGACAACAGCGAGAATGATACCCATCCAGAACCGAGTGAAGTAATAGAAGTGCTTTACAAGCATGGCGTAAAACTGCTGGAAAATTAGAGTGTTGCCAGCATTAAAATCTAAAAAATATAAATCTATATAATATAATAAAAATAATAAAAGTGTTTTTTGTATTGTAGATGAAAATCAATATTCACTAGTAATAGTAAATCTATAAATAGTAGGAAATGCCACTCCTTTCGCTGTTTACTCGCCTATTCTGTGAATAGGCTTAGCGGACTCTCTATGGCTGAAAGAGCTTCACTTTCGCCTTTACTCCTAAATAAAGGCTTGATCGTCCTCAAGAAGTTTTCCGTTGAACTTCAAAAAGAACTCGGAGACCCTTCAAAGCTGTTCTTGCCGCTGAGTCAAGCAGGCATACAGATTTTAGATGACTACCATGATTGCTATCCGATCTCCCCTTGCCCGATCATTAACGCCTATCACCTCCTAAATGGGATAAAGATGGCTGTTCACAGGAATCCAGATGTGCTCTTCATATTCTTAGAGGTATTAGACAAAGCTTCTCCTCATAGCATTGCAAAAAAGATTGAAGAAGAGTACAAAGGTGAGCTAGATCTACAAAAAATTGTTTTTACAAGCTATTACTACCGGTATTATGTCTCGTTGAATAGGGCATGATGATCTTTGCTTTCATCCCAGGAACACAAGTGATAGCTGGGCTGAAACTTTTGTACCTTCAACAGATAGACTGATCAACTTACAGTCAGCCGTCAAAACAGAATTGCTTAAAGCAAAGGTCTTTTCATCCCAAATAAAGAAGCTTCCATTTCTGGCTTCATTCATGCAAGAGGAATGGGAAGATGCATGCAATATCAATGATTTACTCAACATAATATTTAAGCATTGCTCTCCCTCCAATTACAGCATTCTTTTACCGCTAATTGGTAGCTTCCAACTAACGAATGCTTCAATGGCAATACAAGCATATGAAAATGAGCAACAGCATTATTGCAAGCAACTGGCAGATCCTGATTTTATTGAAGAGCTTGAGAGACACTCAAGTTCTTCTGCATATAGAGCTTCAATTGTTTTTGGATTCCCACTGGAAAAGCTTCACTGCATGACTGTGTCTGAATTCAAGCTCATTTTGTCTCGCATATTCTCTGATTTTTCATGTTTCATTCACATTACAAGAGTCTCATTAGGAACACATTCCTCTGTTACTTTGTCTGCTCCTGAAAGGATGAGTCAATGTCTCCTTAATATAGGACTACAGAAGAGAGAGTATATCAGCATCATGACTGGAGCAACCTCAATGGTTATTGGTGATAGCGTAATCCTTAGCAAGGACACTGACATCAAGCAGGTATAATATATTGTATATTATAATAATGGTAGTGAATAACGCCTATGCTGCCAATAGTAATTTTTTGCTAGTTTAAAATTATAAAGTAAAAGAATCTAGAAAATCTATTTTGTATTCAATTTGTCTTCAATGCTTTTTGTAATAGATGTTATCTGACCTTGTTGAGCAGAAGCGTCAAAGAGAAGTCAGTCAGGTATATGGTTGAATTAAATATTTAAAAGTAATAATTTTTATTCTTTCAGACAAAAAACACTCCTAAAGGTCTAAGTAAGTTAAAAACATCTGTATTTAGTGATAGTATATGATGTAGGTACTAATGTGTGGCACAAGGAGGAAGATACCACAGTATTGAATCAGGGTTTCAATGGTATGGCAGTTTTACAATAGCCTCCTAATAAAATATTACAATAGACATATCACATTCCAAGACTACTATCTGCGAACAACCAATAGGAAAAGTTGCAACTGAAAATGAAGGTAATACTTATAAAGCAAGCTTGTTGTTAGAATTAAAGTTTATAGAAATAATTCAAGAAACATTGGACGAAGATATTGAGAAACCTCCAAAAGGTACAAAATGACACATATTATTATATACTGCTATTGTTATAATCACTTTGATTTTCCATCTACATTATAGTGATTCCTAAAGTCATAAAGGCATATCCTGACCTTTGCAAGACACTGGAAAAGAAACCCCAGCAACTAAAAAGAGAGAGGTTGCGGAGCTGGAGACGCTATAAGCCTGAACCAAGAGACGTCTTAATTATTGGATCATTTGGTCAGCATGAGGAATGCTCTAAAAGGTATTACTACAATATGTACTTAGCATAACAATTAGCAAAGTCTATTACTATAATTTACTATGAAGCTTAATGGTTGAGTAGTTGTAATGTTTTGTTGATGTGCTATACTCTGATTTGTTTAGACACATTGTGTCAGAGAAGATTATTCCAGAGGAAATAGATAGTGAATGGATGAAAAAGGAAGTTGATGAAATTGAAAAATTGTATGCAAAAAATCCAGACACATTTATAGTTCGGAAAACATGTCGGGATTATTCTGAAGGGCAATTTCTATCTAGAGATCAATGTCTTCAAATGATAAAAGATCTTTTTACTAAATATGATCAGCCAGGAGGTAAAGATTTTATTAACACTAATATAAATAATGCTCAAATTTTTGTTTATAGCTAGTATCTGGTATACTGGACATGGTGAGAAAGACACTGGAAACTGGTGCTTCAAAGATGGCGTGATCTCTTTCGATGATATCTTTCATCTGTACATGGATCACTATCAAGGAAAATCGCTGACCATAATCTCTGACTGCAGCCATTCTGGTAATTGGGTTAAGGAATGTGCCAAGAAATTGGACGAGAAGCGCATACCATTTTGTGGACATCAAGTAATGGAAGAAGGAATATTTATAAAAATAATTGCCTCGTGCCAAAGCGACAAAGAAGCAACAGCTTTGAGTTTCATAACAGAAGGTGTGCATTATGACGAGGAAGAGAAAGGAGTAATACACTGCCCGGAAAATATCCTAAAATCAGGCCAAAAACCATCTGGAATGGACTTCAGAAATATTCGCTGTAGCTGTAGCAAAAAAGATGACCCTTGCAGAATAACTTGCAATATGAGCTGGAGCAATTGTGTATCGAGTAGCACTGATCTCATATATACGATTCATGGAGAAGATGAAGACAAAGAGAAACTGTGGCATTGCATACTAGTTGATAAAGAAGAAGTGGACAACTTTAAAAGTTTAGTACAATCTGGTGAAAGGATCGATGTTAGTAAGTATGGAGAAATAATCTGCTCTGGCTGGGGAGTCGATTTGCCAAAAAGTTCGATTCAAGATTTAGAACTGAGGTTTTTAAAATAAGTTTACAAATCTCTTAACACTGCCATCCATTCATTGTTATTATTATACAAAGACCATTATATTAAAATAATCTGTTTTTTATAATTTTAAGCAATTACTGTGATTAATATTTTAATTATCCTTTATGCATATAAAATTTTTATAACATTACCTTTAAAATTTTTAGTGGGTACGGGTGACTTTTCATCAGCAGCTGCAGATTGTTCAGAATCTATTGTTTCAATAATTTCAGAAACATCACTTGTCTGCTTTTCAAAATATTCTGTTCTCTTTCTCTGAATTCTAAAAGAGAAGAAGAGAGAGAGTTAAGCAGAAATGGCTAAAGGTTATACTTTTTTTGAATCTCTTCGTCTTCATCTTTACCAACTTGAATGAATACTTCCTCCATCGTTGTAACAGAAACACCATAACTACTAATACCAAGACTTCTCTTCCTATCTATACAATAATAGTAACTTTAACAACTCGTAAAAATCCAAACTTAACCAGAATCAGTTCAAACTTACTACACAACATAAGAACATGTATACGCATCAAAATTCATAATTTAATAAAAACTGAGAATTCTAATCAATTACTTTCAAGTGTATTAATAAGTGATGAGAATAGGATGGATTTCTCATCAGGCAGCAACAGTACAACTTCAGTTCCAATGTCGTATAAAAACCTTGATCCCCCGACCATATCCTGTACTACTGCAATGATCTCTTCAGAATCAGTACTAATGCTAGCCTTCTCTATAGTTAAATGGTAGCCACACCCATAACTATAGAAGTAGAAGATTTAAAATTCAAATATTCGAAAATTCAAAATTTGATTTTTAAATTCAGTTGCATTCACTTGCTGACCGTTTCTTTAAGAAAAGAGATGATCCACTTGTTTTAACTCTCCCTGACTTCATAATGGCTATCCTATCCCCCAGTATGTCCGCCTCATCCCTAACAAAATAAAATATAATAATTAAAAGTACTCGAGATATTTTAAACAAAGCTGTAGCAGCTGCAGTAATTTGTAATCCTCTTAGTTTACATGAATTGTGTCGTAAGTAGAATAGTCCGTCCCTCCTTATGTTTGATAAGCAGATCCCAAGTGATCCTCCTTGCATAGGGGTCCATACCGCTAGTCGGCTCATCCAATATGACAAACTTAGAACCACCAATTAGAGAAATTGCAACACTGAGAGTGAGAGATCAATCCTTCCAGTATATAAATAGTAGGTTTTTATTACCTCAATTTTCTCTTCATTCCGCCGGAAAGGTTCTGAGACTGAACATCAGATTTATCAATTAATTCTAAATCATCTAGCAGGTCATCAATTGCATCAGTAGTATTACCACTAACACCCTTTAAACAACAACAATGACAATAATGAGAAGAACAGCAACAGTACTTGATCATACCTTCAGCTTAATAAAAAACCTGAGGTGTTCTCTGACAGTTAGTCTATCAAACAGCACATTATGTTGTGGACAGAGCCCAAGGTTAGTCCGAATCAGTTCAATATCATCCAAGACACTTAGTCCATTTATAAAAGCATTCCCTGAGGTGGGAGGGTAGAATCCTGACAGTATATTAATCGTCGTGGTCTTCCCTGCTCCATTGTGCCCCAGCAGTGCTGTGATCTGTCCTTCATACATCTTCAATGACATCTTATTTACTGCAACCACCTCTGAATCCGACTTCTATAATAATAAGTATAAAATGATATGCAGTATAACTCTATCTATCTCCATTATCATTGCAGTAGTATCTTTATTGCTATAATGTATAGATAATATGCACCTTGGAGTTGAACACTTTCCCAAGGTTATTGATTGATATTCCAACGGAAAGGCCAGCTGGATCAGGCTCATGATTTGAATCTTGTTCGTTTCTTTCTTCTAACTCCACCTCCTCCTCCTTGCAGCTCGGGGCCAACTATAAACAACAAAATTTATAACAACAACAACAAAAAAAAAATGATAATGATAATAATAAAAATAATGTAGTGTACTTTATGCTTTTTATTTGTTCGTCTCCAATATGACGGCTGCAAAAAGAAATATGGTTTTTTGGCGATGCCATACTGACCAGGAAACACTGCTTCAATATACCTAATAATAATAATAACAACAACAACAACAACAACAACAACAACAACAAAAAACAACAACAACAATAATAATAATAATACAATAATGATTTTGAGTTCAAAAATTCAAAAGATAAGCTATTAAAATTTTGCAAAGGAAGTAAATTTTTATATACACACGTACACTCTGGACCCACCAGTACAAGATCATGTATGTTATGGTATTGAGGAACAGTATGAGGAACGTCCATGCCATGCTGAAGGTAGTGTCGGTGAAAGAGACTGGAGTGAAGAAGTACTGATAGTTAAGACCAAGGCCGCTTTGTTCTAGCTTTGATAAGACCTGAATACCGAACCCAGTGCATAAATTTGAAGAAAGCAATGAGAGAAGCAACTTAATGGAGCTAGAGAAATTAAGAGATGGTGAGAAAATGAGGCAGGGAAAGACATAGAAAGGGCAAGGGAAAGTGGGACTTTATCATAATACATGTAGATATATAATGTGATAGCTTACAAGTGTATGTCATCATATGATTGGCTGATGAAGAAGTGAATGATTGAAAGTGTGGACCAGGTTAGTATACCAGCCAACAGGCCAAGGGTAGCAGAGGAAAACAGTGAACTGTACAAATAAATAAATAAATAAATAAATAAAATATAATATACTTGTACCTCAAGAAGAAGCAAAAGGCAATTGTTGAAGTGACAAAAAGAAAAAAGAAAATGATGAGAAGTAGCAGATTAGAGTTTGGTAGTATAATGCCATACTAAAAAGAAAGAATATATAAAATTAATGATACTTACAGATGTGAATCCCTACCTTAAGCATGATAGCATATATTACTGCAGTGAAAAATAAAAATATGAATTCTTTAATGAACCAAGTTGCAGTCAGAATCCAGTTGGATAAGCCCATTATCTTCATCATTTCTTTTGTACGAGATTCCTTCTCCAAAACCAACTCCTATTCATTAACAATACAATTATTTATTTCTATTATTTGCAAAAAGAGCATTTCCCTACCTTTACAAAAACTCCGACTGAGTAAACAAATGATATTGAAACAAGAAGAGGAAGAAGAAAATCCAGTGAAAAAACAAAAAAATCCCGACCATACACTGGTGAAGGAATTTGCTACAACAAATAAATAAACACATGAAGTACAAGTATACTTAAAACATACTAAAATGTACAAAAATATACTAAGATATACTGACTCGTGATTCAACATTGACTGCCACTGGTTGACCAGTCCTGTAATGAATGATGGCTTCACTTATTATCTTTTGCAACTGCATGAAACCTTCATCCAAGTATTGACTGGAGAAGGTCATTTAAACTGAAGCCGGTAGTACAAAAACTTACTATGGAACGTGACGTGGTCCGGCTAGCTCCAATGGTGCAGCAACTAAATCAATCAACCAATTGACACGGTTTGTCTCATATCTCAGTCTAATACTAAACTTAATGTCATCATTTGAAATACTTTCAAAATAAACACCTGGAAAAAAGAGAGGGAAATTGACTCTATAAAAGATTAAGGTGGTAATATTACCAGCTCCACCAAGAAAGCAGCCTCTGCTTCTAGTGACATTTGAATCCTCTACAGCTGCTTGTATGCCATCTGATGTCTCAACTCCCTCCAAACTACCTCCACTGGTCAACAGCAATGGAGCAATGTAGTTAGCAGCTAAATCATTTACTAGAAAAGATAAAAAGAACAATAAATATGTATAAAGCACTAGGTGAGATTAACTTTAAATTAATTTGAGAGTATAATTTGTTTACACAAAATACATTCCATAGCTCTTTTAAGTACCAAATTATGATCAAACAAAGATCTCAATGTGCTAGTGTGAAGAATCTCCCCTTTCTCTTCCCCACACACTCTCTCTTCTCTCTCTCTCCTCCTTTCTCTTTTCTGCAAAACCTTCAGTTGTGTTAGGTGCATAATAGAGAATATATGAATCAGTCCTTGGAATGACAAGTGGATCCGAATTATAAGTGACAAAGCAGTTATAATCAAAATTAAACACAGTAAACCTACACAATGACAATAATAAGTATAAATTGCATAGATATAGCAGTATTTGTCTTACCTTAGTATCAGCAGCACTGAGACTGTAGTTAATGGAGTTATTATCTCAAAGAAAGTTCCAAGAGGGCGACGTATCTGGAGCAGTAAAGAACAAAGATATAACACAATAATGTGTCTATGAGATATTGAGTGCAGACAATATACTGTAATTATAGTATGTTGACCATTGGAGCTGGATCATTAAGCAGGAGTATACATCTATTATTTTCAGAATTGCAGTACTACACTATCTTCACTATTATATAACTTAATTACTGCAGGTCATGCAGTCAGAATTTATACTAATTATATTTAAATTATTTTGCAGCCAGAACAATAGCAGGTTATTAATTAGAATTGATGTACAACAAAGCACTTGCATACACAAAATGGTAGCTAAGATCTAATTATTAGTAGATCTAATTAATTCAAATTATATTGATCAGTATGGTTTCATTAGTATTCACTATCACACACTTTCATACACAGACCAAATTGCATATAGCCCTTCAGAACTTAATAATCATACAGAGAGCAAGAAAAATATAATGACCCGTCACACATTACAATTCTCACACTAAGAGGTGCTAGAAATCACAAGCCAAAAGATTAACAAGCCTACTTTACCTGCAACAATGCATTCTTCCAGAGTAACAAACCAAACTGTACCACTATCAGACGAAGAGTATATCCTAGAGTCCTTTTATTTGTAAACCTGCCTCCTCCTTTAGGCTTAGGAGCAGTAGACACGGTTGGGGATTCTTCCGCCACCTCTTCCATGTCTATTACTTGCTTATTTTTTTAGCCTTGCAGGATGAAGGTGGAGCTAGTAACATTAATTTGATGCATTCTTCAACAAGCCACTCCCAGGCTATGATAATTCGAAGTTAGGTAATGGAAGTTAAGAGAAGGAAAGGTAAGGGAGAATGGGAAGCAAGCAGTCACAGAAAAGAGGAGCAAAGAAAAAGCAAGAGCATATCCTTAGGAAGGTATGTAAATAGACTAATCATTGCTGTATGCTGTATCTAGGCCTAGGTGCAAGCTCTGTTTATTGGTTACACTAGTGAGTGTACTGCTGTCTCTAGTGCTCATTGCCATCCTACCCACTCCAATAGACCCAGTTATTATAGAGTAAGCACTACATATAGATACAGCATTATTATTATTATTATTATTATTGATATTATTATTATTGTTACACTGTTATTATTACTGCTAGATATCTTAATCAAAATTTTTGACATTTTAGAGCTAATATGTGTTTATAACCATGAAAAATGATCTGTCTTTCACAATTCTTTGTAGCAATATAGACTTAGTCTTGCTAGCCAGACCATTCCCCAGCCTATAGTCCCAGCCATCCACCCCAATGACTGTAGGCGGGAAGGGTACGGCTTGCGAGACTAATATAGACTAGCTGCTTCATCAATTTCATTTTGTAATTAGTTTAGGAGGAATAAAGAGCAAATCATTTGGAGGAAATGCATACCTGAGAGAAGCCATTAGACTCTTTGATGGAGAAATAAAAGGACCAGAAGGATTTGCAATAGATGGAGATGGTAAATACTGCACACCATACACTTACTATACATTTTTATATATCTTATAGGTAACATGTATACTGGACTTCATGATGGCCGTATTGTTCTATTCAATGATACTCATATGACCACAGTCATGAGAATGGGACCACCGCCTTATGACAACTGTGGCAAGTTAACTTCAGAGTCTCACTGTGGCAGAGTACTGGGTCTTGAAATAAGCCAATCAGATCCATATCTCCTCTATATATGCGATTGTTATCATGGCATACAAACACTCCATCTTAAAACTGGCCATAGAGAAGTACTAGTCAACACCACTGCTACCTATCCTGGTGTACCTCCAATAAAGTTCTCTAACGATATGGTAGTCCTGAAAAATGGAAGTGTCTTCTTTACTGATTCAAGTTATAAGTTTGCTCGTAATGAGCTCTTGATGGAAATGTATGAAGGACGACCCAATGGTAAACTGCTGCATTATAATCCGACTGATGGCACTGTTAGTGTTGCCATTGGGGAGCTGCACTTTGCTAATGGAGTCTGTGCAAGCAAGGACGAGAGCTTCTTGATTATATCAGAAACTTCAAGATCAAGAATATTAAAGTAAACAAAGCTCATACACAATTTAATGTTTAGAATATGTACGTTATATTAAAGCAATCGCGTTGTTTGTTCTACTAGGTATCATCTTAAAGGTCCAAAAACAGGGCAGACAGAAATATTTATGAATGAGCTACCTGGAGTTCCTGACAATATATCACCTAGCTCTAAACCCGGTGGTGGGTTCTGGATTGGGTTTGCACTCCTCAGAAATGAAGCTCTAGAAGTACTAGGTCACTTTCCGGCAATAAGGAATGTGTTTGTTAAGGTAAAGAGAGTGTTAAGGTAAAGAGAGTTAATTTAAAGTTCTGTGCATCATTTTTTGGACAAAATAATGATTTAGAAAATTTATTGTTTCTCATAGTTAAGACTGACTAGACTAATAGCAGAGTCCCTGCCGAGGAACGGACTGATTATGGAGTGTGATGAATCTGGTACTGTCATAAGAGAACTTTATGATATGGGCGGAGTCAAGATACCCTCAGTTAGTGAAGTACTTGATTTGAATGGAGTCTTGTATTTAGGATCCTACGATGGGACTTATATCGGAAAATTAGACTTTAGTAATAAATAAATAAGGTGATAGATAGATGAATTTTTAAAATTATTGATATGAACCACATGGACAATAGTTAATTTAAACATGTTACTCAACCAAAGTGAAAAAGTTGCCTAGAAATGACCCAAACACGTGGAAGCACGTGGGTATTATAAACCACACCTTCTGGTTAATATTCATGTTGCTCGCGTGATCTTATGAATATTAACTAACTTGTAGCTCACGTGACCCACGTGGTATTTTATGGCGGTCCAACAGAGAAGGCTCCCTGTTAGTTCAGTACAGAGCCCTGCAGTATCAGCTGCAATAGCTCACCTCCATCATTACAGTCGGGCTAAATCAGCTATAAGATGGGGAGCACTCAGTTCAGTTGCCATGATAGCACTTCTGGTTGACATGTAAGTGGGCGTGGTCTCAAGTGGTTATTCTAATTAATGCACAGGTACTTTTGCTTGATAGCTTTTTTGACGAGTGTCAGCACTTACATCATTCTGATGATAGGTAACGATATATTTAAAACTGGGAGGGTTTTGCGCACGCATTAAACATGTATTTTATGGTAAATATTATTTTTGGAACATTATTCTATTTTTAGAATCAGTTCTGCTATTTTTACTATTTTTATGCGTCCTGTACGACATCGTGTATTACGTCTGTACAGTGTGGACTAACTCGAAAGTGAAAGTAACGCAAAAACAAAAAGATATGCTTGGAATACCCAAAGAAAGTGAGTCCTTAAAATACTATAAAACGGTTAATTAATGACTGCTGTTTTTTACTGTGTTAGTATGTGGTTTTCAAACAGTTTCTACTCCGGTTAATTTTCCTTCAATTTCCTCCACGCCCACTCGACCCAAGTACACGCCTCCTGCAATAGCCACACCCTTTTCCGGTAAACCCTCTCCTAATAATTATTACTATCAGACTCCAGTGAGTGGGCATCAATTAGAATAGTAATTAAAAGCCTTAATTGCAGGGGTCTACTCAATCCCAGTACAGCACTCCCTCACATTCTCATTCCTTTTCTAATAATAGCATCTACTCCCCAAGCAGGTACATGTATTTGCCTTATATGGCCGTTTTATTCTATTTTTAGATCTCCTGGCCACACCTCTTCCCCTTGTAAGTGTTTTTATGCATTGTATACATGTACATGTTTATTTATCGCATCGTCTTAGTTACTAGCGATCGTATATCTACCAGGAAATCTTTGACGGAGTATTTGAGAGGTGAAGAAGAAAAGGAGCAGAAGCATCTTCACGGTAAAGGGGTGGGACTATTAATTGAGTGGGTGTGGCCTAAACAATGAATATAATTATATTAAATTAGGTTCTCCGGATTATTTGTCAGGTTCTTGGTACGGGTCTCCTAATGGAGGGGGCGGAGCCCCAGCTCTTCGTAAATATCACGTAGCTACAAGGTATGGACTATTAATATACTATTAATAATAACGGTTAATATACTATTAATATACTGTTAATATACTATTAATATACTGTTAATATGTTAATTATAGGACACCATATTCTCCTGATGATGATGAAAGAGATTCTGAAACAGTAAGTGTTGCTGATGTAAGAATTTTGTAGCTTGTAACTAGTTTATAAAATAGTTGAAATTATAACCGGTTGTTTAGTTATGGAGTCGACTTCGAATTAAGAAAGATGACGTTAATGAATGGACTGTCCGCTGTCGTAAGGTTGGACTATAATAATAATTATTATTAATTATTATTAATTTTAGTGGTTAGCTCAGACTGTCATAATTCCAATATCAAAAGAAATTCACTCGATGAACAAGAAACTGGAAGGAATAGGCTCAAAGAAATTAATTGGAAGTAATGATAATAACAATAATAATAATAATAATAATAATAATAATAATAATAATAATGATGATGAACAAAACTTAACCTCTTACTGTTATTATTGTTCCTTCAGTTGCTAGTGTAGCCCAGTTGCAGGATGAAGCCATCCTAAGGGGAATGATACTCCCCAGTCTAAGTATGCTGTTACGCTACCTGAGCCTATCGACCAGACAGGACTATCTTGTGAAGAGAATTCACGGTAAGAGATACTAGCCTTGGATACCTCAAACTTTCTACATAGCATAAGGGCATCAATATGTATCAGAAAATGTAATAAAAATTGAGGTGATTTCGGAGTCATTTTTTGGAAAAAAAACATGGGCTATAGTACAGGGTATTTTTCAGAATTTTTGGCATTTTCTTAAAATGGCCGTAACTTGAAAAAATGAAGTCGGAATCACCTCAAACTTTCTACACAGCATGAGGGCATCAATATGTATCAGAAAATGTAATTAAAATTTGGGGTGATTTTGGAGCCATTTTTTAGAAAAAACCATGGGCTATAGTAAGGGTATTTTTCAGATTTTTGACTTTTTCTTAGAATGGCCGTAACTTGAAAAAGTGAAGTCAGAATCACCTCAAACTTTCTACACAGCATAAGGGCATCAATATGTATCAGAGAATGTAATAAAAATTTGATATGATTTCGGAGCCATTTTTAAAGAAAAAACCATGGGCTATAGTACAGGGTATTTTTCAGATTTTTGACTTTTTCTTAAAATGGCCGTAACCTGAAAAATTGATGTCGGAATCACCTCAAACTTTCTACACAGCATAAGGGCATCAATATGTATCAGAGAATGTAATAAAAATTTGAGATGATTTCGGAGCCATTTTTTAAGAAAAAACCATGGGCTATAGTACAGGGTATTTTTCAGATTTTTGACTTTTTCTTAAAATGGCCGTAACTTGAAAAATTGAAGTCAGAATCACCTTAAACTTTCTACACAGCATAAGGGCATCAATATGTATCAGAAAATATTATAAAAATTTGGGGTAATTTCGGAGCCATTTTTTAGAAAAAATCATGGGCTATAGTACAGGGTATTTTTCAGATTTTTGATGTTTTCTTAAAATGGCCATAACTTGAAAAATTGAGGTCGGAATCACCTCAAACTTTCTACACAGCATAAGGACATCGATATGTATCAGAAAATGTAATAAGAGTTGGGGGTGATTTCGGAGCCATTTTTCCTTCAAACCCAATTTTGATCAGAATCCACTCAAGGATTCTGCACAACATAAGTACATGTATATGCATCAGAAAATGCAATGAAAGATTGATATTATATTTGTAACAGATTTAGCTGAAGGTGGTAGTATTGTTAATTTCAAGTGGGACTCTGGTGGAACATGGAAGGGTAGGAAATGGGACCAAGATTCACCTACTGACACAGAAGTAATGCATATACTGATAATACTGTTCATATCGTTTTATAGATTGTTCAATATTTTCTTTGCACGTATTTGGACTCTCAGATCCCACCCTCTCCACAGTTTCCTGATGGCAAGACTTTCACTAGTCAATACTTTGTCAAAACTCCTGATAAACCAGGCACTTAATTAATCAGTTACTTAATTTATTTATTCTATTTATTTATAGAAAGCAAGAAATCTACAGTGGCCCTCTATCAGTCAAGCATCAATCCTCCTCAATTTAAAGTTTTATGGAAAGACACAGTCATTGAGATTCCAAAGGTATTCTTTTCATTCTTGATTGCTGTATAGCTAGAAACTTTGAGGGACTTAATTTTTATAAAAAAAATTATGGAAATTTGCAAAGGAGTGAAACCTTCTTCCCTCAAATAGTTTCCAGCTATGCATGTACATGTATACATTGAATTGGTAACTGATGCAGTATGATTTTTGACTAGGGAAGGAATAATCTTTTTTATGCTATTATCGTTTTCTTGCACTATGTTAAACATGAAGAGAAAGGATTGTTAGGGTAATTGTCTGCATGTGCATTTGTGTGTCTGTGTTGCTAATGAATTGTATTGTCTTGTAGGCATTTAGACCTTGAGCTCTCTGGACTCAACTTATTGTGGATAATTGACAAGTCGTAGCCATTTTAAAATGAACGTATGAGATATATTGTTAACTTAATGGATGGTTTTTCAAAGAGAATGCTATGATTGAACTGTTCAACTGTTCATCTATAACTTGATCAGTTCTGTTTAGTTTTTGTCTTTTTCGCTGTACAGCATTTGCAGGATCTTTTCAAGATCATCACTATAGCCACTAGCCCAACCAATAGCACAATGTACACATCAACATTGTAGTATTGTATCCAGTTCCATTTATACTTGATGGGCCCTGGTATTAGATGATCATAGCCATAAGTCCCATAAAATTCAACTAGTTCTGCTGCTCTCTTTACACCTCCTCCTCTCTTCATTAGGACACTCATCTTCTCTGCTCTCTTGTGGTATCCATCATTATCTATTCTCCTAATGGAGTCCCTTAGACCTCTAGACGTCACCTCATGACGTAGCAGCTGCAAACCAACTCCAGCATCACTTACTCTCACTGCCCAATCAAACTGATCTCCCATTCCTGGTATCACAATAATTGGAATACCAAAATAAAGTGATTCATGAATCCCGTTTGATCCTCCATGGAGTATAGCCATTGATATTGAGCTATGCTGTAGTAAAGTTACTTGTGGTATCCATGAAGAAGTATAATATCTGCTGCTGTCAATGTTTAAGATGATATCTTTATTGATATCACCCACTGACCATATCACATGGTAATCAGTATCACTGATTCCATTAACGATCTCTTGTGCTATTTTATCAGACAGTGACAATTGTGACCCCATGCTGATATAAATAACACTTTTATTATTCTTATTCCTCAGCCAGTCATTGAGATCAACAGGCAGGGAATGTTGATTGAGTAGTGCCTGTGACAGGACAGGCCCAACATACGTTGTTAATGGTGATATTGTACGGGGGTACTCAAGGCCCAACACTGTCATTATGATGTATGGTACCTCCCATCCTAACTCCACTGGGTACTTGAATGTTTCTTTACACAAAGACTCGGTAACTGGAGATTGTATGAGTACCCAATGCAATGAAAAAGCAGACAGACACCTCCATCCAATTGTACTCAAGCCAATTACTGCTCTTTCTTTGAAACTTAGATTATCAGAGTAACCCGATTGGTATACAGGAAAGGGCCAGGGTGGAGACTCATTAGAGAAATAAGTCATAGAAGTGATGACAACAGTAACATCCCTACTCTTAGCAATACAAGGGATCCTGTGTAAGAGATAATGTTCAGTGACTATGATGTCCCATTGCTTTAAATTGATGTTCATGAAATACTTTGCAATCTCATCTATACCTGACAATGGTCTTGATTGATCCAGTAACCTTAGCTCTTCAATAATGGCTAATGGATTCTTGCTAAAGAAACCTTGTAAAGAAGCTCTTTTAGATATGATATTATTCCATTCGGCTTGGGTTACTGTTTGCTTACCAGCTGATAAATATCTTATTCCCCTCTCTGTTGACTTGTGTCTCAGGTTCACCCAATTATCCAATGAAGAGAATGTGACATTATGTCCTCTTACAACTAGCTCCTCTCCTATTGCTAGTAGACGGTTAGCATGACCAGGAAATGGAGCTGAGACTAGCAACACATCAAGTGATGAACTGCTGCACAAACAAGCAAATAGTAGCAACAAAAGACAGCCAACCATCTTTATTGCATTCTTTAGGCTTTAGCCCTGGTCTCTCAAAACACACAGGTGGCTGTGGTTAGAGACTATTCAGACTAAGTGATATAATGAAGGGCAAGATGAAGGCCTACCTGTTGTTGCAGGCTTTGCTAGCTTATTGTATGTGTCCTGTCAGTTCTCTTGATGTGTTACTAGTCTCAGCTCCATTTCCTGGCCATGCTAACTGTCTACTAGCTATAGGAGAGGAGCTAGTTGTAAGAGGACACAATGTCACATTCTCTTCATTGGATAATTGGGTGAACCTGAGACACAAGTCAACAGAGAGGGGGATGAGATATTTATCAGCTGGTAAGCAAGCAGTAACTCAAGCCGAATGGAATAATATCATATCTAAAAGAGCTTCTTTACAAGGTTTCTTTAGCAAGAATCCATTAGCCATTATTGAAGAGCTAAGGTTACTGGATCAATCAAGACCATTGTCAGGTATAGATGAGATTGCAAAGTATTTCATGAACATCAATCTACAGCAATGGGACATCATAGTCACTGAACATTATCTAACTCACAGGATCCCTTGTATTGCTAAGAGTAGGAATGTTACTGTTGTCATGACTTCTATGACTTATTTCTCTAATGAGTCTCCACCTTGGCCCTTTCCATCTTATGAATCAGCTTACTCTGATAACTTAGGCTTCAAAGAAAGAGGATTTATTGTCATAATGTTCTTCATTAATCGTTTCTTTGCTCTTGCGAATTCATTCAGGACCTCGTTTGATAAGTTTTCGTGTAAAGAAACATTTAAGTACCCAGTGGAGTTGGGATGGGAGGTACCATACATCATAACGACAGTGTTAGGTCTTGAGTACCCCCGTACAATATCACCATTAACAACGTATGTTGGGCCTGTCCTGTCACAGGCACTACTCAATCAACATTTACTGCCTGTTGATCTCAATGACTGGCTGAGGAATAAGAATAATAAAAGTGTTATTTATATCAGCATGGGGTCACAATTGTCACTGTCTGATAAAATGGCACAAGAGATCATTAATGGAATCAGTGATACTGATTACCATGTGATATGGTCAGTGGGTGATATCAATAAAGATATCATCTTAAGCATTGACAGCAGCAGGTATTATACTTCTTCATGGATACCACAACTAACTTTACTACAGCATAGCTCAATATCAATGGCCATACTCCATGGAGGATCAAACGGGATTCACGAATCACTTTATTTTGGTATTCCAATTATTGTGATACCAGGAATGGGAGATCAGTTTGATTGGGCGGTGAGAGTAAGTGATGCTGGAGTTGGTTTGCAGCTGCTACGTCATGAAGTGACGTCTAGAGGTCTAAGGGACTCCATTAGGAGAATAGATAATGATGGATACCACAAGAGAGCAGAGAAGATGAGTGTTCTAATGAAGAGAGGAGGAGGTATAAAGAGAGCAGCAGAACTAGTTGAATTTTATGGGACTTATGGCTATGATCATCTAATACCAGGGCCCATCAAGTATAAATGGAACTGGATACAATACTACAATGTTGATGTGCACATTGTACTATTGGTTGGGCTAGTGGCTATTGTGATGATCTTGAAAAGATCCTGCAAATGCTGTACATCGAAAAAGACAAAAATTAAACAAATTTAAATCTTTTTTTAAATTAAAAGATACAATTAGCTTTATGGCATGTAATTGCAGCACAGCTTTGTATGTCTTTTATTTGTCAAAGAAATCCTTCAGCTGTTGTTGAAGGTTTTTCGCAATATCTGAATTACTCTCTGCAACATTCTCTATCTCACATTGATTGAAGTCATTCTCAGTCCCACCATTAGGCGCGTCATCTTGATGATGATCATATAACTCAATAGCGTACGGCTTCTTGTCCCATTTCCCCTTACCATCTTCCCATTCCATCCATGCAGTGTACCTCCAATTAGGCACACGTACAGAGTATCCCATGTAAATAGTTTTGTCACCTTTATTGCAGCTGTTGTCGTCCCAAAGATACGTCATGTTATTAGGACAGCGTGGATACTGTGAATAAGCTGCAGCTGTCTTGTTTAAGAGTTTGGCCGCTTCTTGAGCGTTAAGATCAGGCGAATCAAACAATGCAGCAAAACTAGTTCCCTCAATATCATCTCCAGGTAATAGAGCACCAACCAGCTCTGATATTGTTTTATAAAGGTCAACCAGCTCCACCAATGCATAACTTCTTTTGCCTGCACTTGTTGGCTTCCATGGTGCTCTAATGATCAGTGGAACTCTTGCTGCTAGCTCCCAGTTTGTCTGTTTGTGCCAGGAGTCATGTTCACCTAATTGGTACCCATGGTCACCAAATAATACAACCAATGTATCATCAGTCAGTGACATGTCATCAAGAGCATTTAGTACTCGCCCAATTTGTGAGTCGACCCAGGAGACTGATGCATAATAAGCATGACGGACCTCTTGCTGTATTTCAAATGGAAACGGTGTTGGCATTGGTAGATATTTGGTGCCATTGGAATTGAGGAACACACCTTGATTATGGAACGCAATGTCAGGTGAGCCACGTGGTCTTTCTCTATGAAGTACTGTCGGGATGTCAGAAGTACTGTACATGTCCCAGTAACGTTTTGGCATCATCCAAGGGACGTGAGGGCGTCTAAAACCTGCAGCTACGAACCACGGATCTCCTTTATCTTTAACATACTGGAGTGTAGCCATTGTGTGGTTAGCAAGCTTCCAATCGTAGTGATAACTATCAGGATAATCCTTCTCATCCAAAAAACACCAAGTGTCTATTTTGGAAACGTCGCCTTCAGGACTACCCAACATCATCTTGTTTGGCTTAGGACAGTTGCTGCCTTTAAAAGCAAAGTATGGCTGATCTTGAGACCAGGATTTAGGCTCATCCCAGTCAGGAGGGCTCCCTGGATGGTATGTCTTCCCTCCTCCAAGAGTGGTGAATCCATTATTCTTGAAGTGCTCTGGTAGTGATATCCAGTCCGGGCCAGTCACCCTGAAGCTAGAGTTACCCAGTCCTATCCAGACACCGGTTGTATCAGGTCTTTTACCAGTCATGAAGCTGTTTCTTGATGGAATGCAGACAGCATGCTGGCAATAGGCTCTCTGGAACACTAGACTCTCCTTAGCCAGCCTGTCCAAGTTTGGTGTGTGTATGTAGCCCTGATCGTAGGCTTCTAACATTTGAGGCCTCAAGTCATCAACTGGCATGAAGAGGACATTCTTTGGTTTGCTACCATAAACTGTTACTGAAGAAAGGAGGACCAATGAAGAGGTAAAGAGTAGCTGCAGCATGTAACCAGCCATGATGAGCCACACCCTTGACCTTTATGTTAACACCCACGCATATTATTAAAAATAAATAAGAATAAAATAAATTAAGATTTTAATGAATCCAGTGAGCTCTGACTCCATTCCCACCAATACTGGTTTCCCAGGATTCGAATCCGGACTCTTCCAAACGACCTTTGACCTCTGACAGATGAGAACTAGAAAACCCTTCAAAGGTAAATAATTATTACAATATTACTTTTAAAAAAACTAAATTTAAGTAGTCCACTTTTAACTGTGTCATTGTGTTAAATCTCAACTAAAATTACCAGATGCAATTAAATAATGGATTTTTGTAGCAGATACTTTTAAAATATTATATTTTTACCAGGTGGTATAAGAGCAATGGCGCACCCTCCTCCTCCAGCGCCTGTCAGCTTTGAAGCTAGACCAATCTCAGAGGTCATGTGATGTACTTTATCCAATGATGCATGACCAACGCCGATTGAGTTGAGTAAATGGTGATTAATTGTAAATAAATCCTGCAAGAGAAAGAAGGAGAGAGAAAGGCATGTTGTAGAATTATAAATAGGACACTCACTTGTAATGTGGAGTATAATTCATTGTTAGGTTCTCCTTCGCTCAATGATGCCAGTTTTGCTAGCACAGTCTCTGATTTAAGTACTATCTCTTCAATTGAAGTTAACAAAGGAGATATCACTGATGGATACTGTGTTGAGAAAGAAATGGTGCATACGAAAATAGAAAAAGTAAAAATGTTAAAGTAATATTGTTGAAATTTGATTGCATGAAATGAAATTATGGCCATACTTTGTCATGAAGGTCTCTTACTCTGGCGACCATCTTCTTGGTATTCCGAAGTACTTTAGTGTAAACAAGTAATATTGTTAGTGAAGGCATTCTAATAATAATAATAATAATAATAATAATAATAATAATAATAATAATAATAATAATAAAATTATTATTGTCATACTTGTCTATTTGTTTAAATGCCCCATTCTTGAATTTAATTGCACCTCCTAATAAATAAATAATAGTAAACTCTCTCTGTCTCTCTTACCAAATACACTGATAGAGTTATCAATCCCTGATGGTGTCCCATGGACAAGAGTCTCTGCCTCATAGCTCAACTTGTTTATCAACTCCAAGTCTTCCTTGGCATACTCACCCCAGGAGCTTACAGCATCAGTAAGTAACACTCCTTCTCCTCTCTCTCTGATATATTCTAACATCATTTCAGGTAAATTATGACTTTTTATATCACTGTTAGCTTCTTTTTTATTAACAGTAATGGCTCCGCAGCAAGTTAAAAGTCCAGCTGCAATACAAACGGAGTAGGCAGCTGATGACCCGAGGCCAGCACCAAAAGGTAATTGAGAATAAATTAGTATATCAATCCCTGTAAGGGTGGCCATCTTGTGGTGTAGGATTTTAGTTAGCAAATAGAGTAATACAAGGCAGGCAAGACTCTTCATTGAAGGATTCTCACCAACATTGCAAAACCTTTTCAAGATTTGCAAGTTATCATCATCTACATAAGGAAACAGACAAAATGCATTGATTTAAGTTTTTGCAATTTCACATGTAAAATTGCAAAAACTTTAATCAATACTCACCTGTACCTTCAATTCTCTGGCTGAGTAATTTCTTGAGCTCACTAATTGGCCATGTTTGGGTCAGTTGCATGTCCGGAAGGATCAGTTTGACGTCTCCAGTGGCCCTGGGAGACAGCAAGAGGTAGCAACGTAGATCAACACTAGTTGCTATTGCTGTCTGTTAAGAAATAATTGGAGATGTTTCAGACAAGCAAAGGATTGTACAACCTTTCCATAGACTACAGCATGCTCCCCGTGTAATATGACCTTCCCTGGAGCAGAAACGAGGACTGATTTTAAGACTTCTTTAACTGCAGCCATCTTGACCTTGGGGGCCCCGCTAGGTGGGCGGGGCTTATTTCAAACGTGACCCGCCCATTAATAATGGCGGGCAAGAAAGGTAATGATTCTTTATTATCACTGGACGCCAAGGAAGAAGGAGAGCTGCCTGAGGCTTTGAAAAGGAACTTGTTACTTCAAGTATTTATTTACCTGTTTTTATTTCAATTTTTGCTTGTTTTATAGCAACCAGACACTTTTGAAAAAGATAAAACTGATTTATCACCCAAGCAGGTCACTCCAGAACCAGGTAAGACACTACCTATTAAAATTAAAGTATTGATTGGGTGGAGCTTACTGGTAACAGCTGCTGAGGTGCCAATTCACACCTTGAGCAAAGAGGAGCTCCGCCCACCATTTAAATATTTTCACTTATTAATTTTTAGGATTTTGTGTCAAGACTAAGACTGAAAAAGATGAGAAAGTGTTCATTAACATATGCAAATCAGAAAACGTAATGATTACTATTATTATTATTATTATTATTATTATTATTATTATTATTATTATTATTATTATTATTATTATTATTATTAGGTTCCTTCTCCAAAGGATATAACAGATGAACAGCTGCAATCAATATTACAATCTGGAGACGCTACTCATTACAGAGTACCTCTTAGTCTGGGGGAACCTCACATTGAGAAAGACAATAGTAAGAAAATAGCATAAGGACATCAGAAAATGTAATAAAAATTTGGAGTGATTTCAGAGCCATTTTATGGAAAAAACCATGGGCTATAGTACAGGGTATTTTTCAGAATTTTGGCATTTTCTTAAAATGGCCGTAACTTGAAAAATTAAAGTCAGGATCAGCTCAAACTTTCTACACAGCATAAGGACATCAATATGTATCAAAAAATATAATAAAAATTTGGGGCGATTTTGGAGCCATTTTTTGAAAAAAACCATGGGCTATAGCCTTGGGTATTTTTCAGATTTTTGACGTTTTCTTAAAATGGCTGTAACTTGAAAAACTTTCTACACAGCATTAGGACAATAATAATGACATCATAATGACAACGGTATATTAATAATCTCTCTGTAGGTAATCATGATTGTACTGTCTATGACGTTATCGTGGGCAGTAGCTTCTATGATACAATTCAAGTGAGACCACGCCCACTATTGAGTTTTTATTGACACACCCACTTTTGACAATTTTTTTAAACTTGTAAAATTTTGTAAGATTTTCCTTCTTATTTTAGTCCAGGCCAATAATGAAGGATTTTCTATTAACAATTGTACTGGAGGGATTGGAAGAGAAGTACAGCCTCAGACTATGCAGAGGTTATTTTCAGCATCTTTTTAATTTATTTTTGTGTTATTTGTAGAATGTAAAATTATGAAAAATCGTAAATTTCTTGGCAATCTTCCAGAGCAAAATGTAAGGAAAGCTCCCAAACCATTTATCATTGAAATGGAGTGAGTTATGTCATTAATTAATTAATTAATTAAATAATTGATTTTATTTTGTAGGGAAGAAGAAGGCAAAGGAAACTCCAAAAATAAAAGGTAGCACCTGGAGGATCACTTTTAAAATATTTTTTTTATATATTTAGCACAGCTGCAGTTTCGACCGCCCCTGAGCCAGAGTACACTATAATAAGGGAACCTCTTGATGGTGATATCCCTGAATATCTTGTGATGGAAATAAAACTGCCAAAAGTGGTAGGAGAGAGAGAGAGAGACGTATTACAAATTAAGAATTACCAAAATGAAGCACCATCTAATTAAGGCAATATATATTATTTGTATACTCAAATCTTCCCTTGATCTCTTCTTTTTCTTGTAGTCTACATCTAAAGCTATTTCACTTGATGTTGGAGTTGACAGGATTGAAATAACAGTCAGACCTAACCTTTATCACTTGCACGTTGATCTTCCATTTACTGTCGAATCAAACGAAACCGTTGCTCAGTTCAATCGAGACTCACAAATACTCTTTGTCACTCTGCCAGTGAATGGAATTGTAGTTGAGAATGTTTTGTAGGCAACTCATGATCATATACATGCACTACACTTGGCTTGTAAGTCCATTTTAAACAATAGCTCACTTTTAGCACATTAATTATGAGATGATTATTTAATATTCTGCAAAAATTTACTTCCAATAATGCACTACTATGATCAACTAATAGATAATTATTTATGATTCATTATTATCACCAGTTTCTTCACTGCTTTCAGAAATTGGTAAATGTTCTGTTACTAAGTCAATGATGTCACTGATTTCTTCTTCACTGAATCGTTCCTCAATCTCCTCTATGACTAGCTGCAGCTCCACAGGCTGGGTTGGTCTTAAATTTACCAACTGAAGCTTCTCAGCTCTAAAAATAGGAAAATAGAACACAAAAGCAGGATTTAAGAAATGCACAGTAAAGTGCACTTACTTTGTTAATTTGTATTTACTGAGTGACTCTAAAAACTTGCTAATGCAATCTGGAGACTATTATATAGACACAATAACAATCAATAAGTTGCTTTTCAACTTACCTGATATATGCATGGCGTGGATGATAAATATTTTTTAGTCTATTGTAACGAACAGAAAATGAATAAAATGATTTATTCATTAAAGACTGTGTGTGTGATACCTCGTAGCTTATGGTTGCCAAATCTTGACAGCGATTTGCTTGATCTTTGTTGGCATGTAAAAATTTGTACACCTGCACACATTATGATAGAGATATCCAGATCAACGTTATTAATTTTGTACATTATTAATTTTATATTGAAACTGCTCTTTATAAAAATGATAGAATTATATATTTTTGAAGTAGATCTACTAGCATTGGCTTACTTCATAATTTGATAGCATAGCTACCTTATCATTTATCCTACAAAAAAGAAAAATAATACAAACACAATCCACCACTTACACTTCCATTGCAAGAAGGGTTTATTAATGTCAATCCAAAAAGGGGTGGAGAGTTTGGCCAAGTTGGTTTATTACGGTATTAGGTGCTGGAGCAAAGATGTCTCGCCCCCTTTCTCGGTCTTTCGTTTGTACTAGCTCTAGAAAAGCTCACAGAGGCCCAGGTACAAGAAAAGTAATTATCTACTGTGTTAAGATCTCCTGTCTACTCTACAATACTATCCCAATGCATGCATGCAAGAGGGTTCAGCCCCACCCTTCATATCTTCATAACTTATAGGTGAACAGAAATTGCTTGAAGTTTTGTCAGGAGGTCTCACTATTGGCTATGCACCTTCCAGTACTGTAGTGCGAATCTACTTGCAATCGAATGCTACTGGTAAACCATAACTATATACTGTAGATCTAATGCAAGCTGTTTTATAGATTGCCTAAATGAGAGAAAAGCATTGTGGAATTCTGTGATTCCACACGTTAAAAGATATGGTCAATCTCTGGGTCTATCAGTCTCCATTGTTGACATGCATTATGGTTTAGACCTGAGTGATATTGAAGAAGAAACTCTGCCGTTTGTTCTTGAACAAAATGACTTCTATTCGACAGCATTAAGAGAGATACAGCTTTCAATTGAGATATCTTCAGGACTAGCTTTTGTAGTAAGTTATCGTGAATTTAAACATAAGAATATGCTACACATTTTTCTCTTTTTTTTCAGACTCTGTTAGGTCAAAAGTACGGACATAAAGCTCTCCAGGCCTTCATTCCATCGCATCACTTTGAGCTCATGTGCTCAAACCTTGAAGAACCTGCCACAAAGAAAACCTTGAACGAGTACTACAAGAAAGATAGCAATGGAATACCAGCTGTGCATGTACTGCAGCAGAATAAGCTATTCTCAGAGTCAGTCTGCAATTATTATTATTATTATTATTATTATTATTATTATCATCATCATTATTTAATTTTCTTTTTCATCTCAGTTCATTGCCAGTTTGGAGTAAGACTCACAGTATCATTTCAAAAGGGATCAGTAAAGGGGCTAGAGTTGCACTTGGTAAAGATCCCAGCAAAGTGCAGGTCTACATTTCATCAGGTACATACAGAAGGAAAATAGAGTATACTGTAACTGTATTTTATTAATAGCTTGTGAAGATGAGATAACCTGTGGTATATTAAATAATAAGAGAGATCATCGCAAGACTTGTTTCTGGTTTAAACGTGTCATTGCTGATATTTATGATCAGCGAGCTAACACTGATACTGCGCTAATTCAATACTGTGATATCGCTGAGGGAAAGAGAGGACTTGAGTTTAACTCTGAATCAATCAAAGCATTGAATTATCTAAAGGAAGCAAGACTATCAGCTAGATACATTGGGTAAGGAAACAAAAAGAACTCATTGCATTCTGATGAAGGCTAGCTCCTATTTATATTTCATCTCTTCATGCAAACTGGCTCCCAAATTTTCCTTACATGTTATGAGCCATTTCGGTTAAATTTTGAGCTATTTTGCCAAATACAAAATGATTTTTTTACTGTAACCTTTTTTCCTTTTTATAAAGGCTTGATCCAACTGCTGTATTTGAGTTCCCATCTTTAAAGTGGCAGAAGAATGCTGGGATTGACACAGAGGTTCCTGAACATGCACAATACATTAGTTATGTATGTAGTAAAGTGAAGGAGGTCATTATGCAAAGACTAAGTGAAACTGCTCAAGAAGTTGGCATTGAAATGAGCTGCACTGTGTGTCAAGATGTCCTTAGAGCTAATGAGCATTGTAGGAAGCTTCTCAAAGGAATTAAAGTATATTTCAAACTATTATTATATTTTTGAATACTTATTCAGGAAAGAAAGGATATTACAGATCAAATACTTTCATATTTTGAATCTTCATCTTCTTCTCCTCTCATTCTTCATGGAAAGACTGGTAGTGGTAAGAGCACACTTATTGCTGATTCCATCCAAAAAATGACACAAAAACTTAACAAGAGATTCATTTGCATTTCTCGATTCATTGGGCTCACTCCATCTTCTAGCAGCATTAAAAGACTACTGACCAGCATCTGTGAACAAGTATGTACATTAAACTAATTTCTTTTCTTATGATTTGTAACTTCTTTACTTCTACAGATATCTCTAGTGTATGCATGCGATGAAGCTATTCCTTGTGATTTTCATAAACTTGTCGATCATTTTTCAAAACTTCTGCAATTACCATCCAGCGAAAAGCAACTGTTTATATTTATTGACGGAGTGGATCAGCTTTCAGCAACTGACGGAGGCTTGGGTCTCTCGTGGTTACCTCTCGAGTTACCTGAGAATGTCAAGATGATTCTGTCAGTATCCAGTGAAGTGAAATACAGGGTCTATCCTATTATTAAAAGTCTATTAAAAAACAAAGATGGATCCTTTATTGAAGTAAGCCTATTCTTTCATCAATGTATACAATTATGTATATATTTCTATGATAAAAGATTAGACCTTTAAGTACTCCAGATTGCAAAGAATTCCTGTATCATCTCCTTGCTCAAAGGAATCGCAGCCTCACAACAGAACAAGACCTGCTATTATCTGATATACTTGCCCTTTCTCCAAGCTTAGATTGGCTGAATCTCATTGCTAGTCACCTCAGTAGCATAACATCATTTACTGATGTAGTGACAGTTCAAGAACTAATGTCAAAATTAGCAACCTATAAAGGTATAGTGTGTATACTGATTTATATTGTCAACAACTTTTAGGTGCCTTGATGGCTGAGATTGAGAAAATACAGAGCAAAAATGGAGAAATATTTACAAGACATACACTCGAATATATCACTGCTTCTAAATATGGACTGTCTGAGAATGAACTGCTAGATATATTGTCACAAGATCAAGAGGTATAGCTATTACCATTATATATGCATGTACTGCAGTATTTTAATGTCTGCATAACATCAGGTAATGACTGAAATAGAGAATAAATCAAGGAGTTCAACTTTGTCCTTCATAATGGATGACATACCAATGATGCACTGGTCTCAGCTACTGCAGGATCTTCTTCAAAACCTACTGGAGTTTAGAGTAGTAGATGGAGGACCTTTAGCTCTTCAATGGAGGAATAGGGCAATGAAAGAATTTGCTGCTGAGAAGTACTGCCCTCCTGATACTGAGAGGAGAGTGCTTATGAGTGGAATTATTGCTGATTACTTTTCTGGTAAACTGCAATCCACAGATAATAATGAAACTTCAAGTAAGTAACATGCATGTATTTAAATCAACTTTCATTGTGTTCATGTAGTAGTTTTGATTCATTGGGGTAATTTTATCAATTATTATTATTTCACATAGGTACAGCTGAGAACAGTGTTACTGGATCTCCACCAAATACTCCACAAGAGCTTTCACTAGTTCCATTTAAAGGAAGGATCATCAGTACTCAGCCATTGACTATTGCTCATAAACTATATAACACTCGTAGACTTGTTGAATTACCTTATGCCCTTCTCAATGGAGAAAGGTGAACTGCTAAAACAGCAAAATTATTCATTTATTATTATTATTATTGCTATTTCTATAGATTATCAGATCTTTATGAATTGCTATCTGATTATAATCTCTGGAGCATGTACAACATGATGTCAATGAATGATGAGCTGCTGATAGCAATGAGATATCTCATGCCACATGTACCACTACACAAGTAAGCCATGGAGTCTCATGCCTGCTACTCATAGTGGCCCCTGCTGTAGAGAGTCTTTGGACATGATTCAATTAAGATTAGTTCAAGAAAGCCTTCATCTTTCAATGGATGCTTTGAAATGGAATCCTAAGCAGCTCCCAGCTGAGATTATTGGAAGATTACTGCCTTACTTATCTAATGGAGAATCACAATGGTAAGCCACTGAAAAATATTGTAAACTTATGCATGCATACACATACTTCATATGTATTAAGAAAATTATGCCAAAACTATAGTACAGGAACTTTGGCCCGACTTTTGAGTAACTTAAATAATTCAAACTTGATCAGAATGAGTTCAAACTTTCTACACAACATAAGTACATGTGTATGTCTATTTGTGTAGGCCTTTATTTCAGCAAATACTTGCAAGTCTTGAATCGTCCCCAATAACTCCAATACATCCATACCCACACACTTCAGGTGGTTCACTACTCATCAAAATGAGAGGCCATCAAGGAGCAGTCACATCCATTTCAACGACCCTCTCTTTGAAGAATAATCTTGTGATTATCTCTGGATCAACTGACTGTACATTGCGGAGCTGGGACCCTCGAGGCTCGGGAGTCATTAAAACTTATGATGGCCATTGTAGTGATGTCCTTTGTGTTTGTGTTAGTGGAAATGGAGAGTTTGTAGCATCTGGAAGCAAGGACAGAACAATAAGGTAAGCATATAGAAAGAACATGCAAATGAAATAATTGTGTATTTGTGTTGTTAATTTCACTAGATTATGGCTAGTCTCTACTGCTGATTGCCTGCACACTATGGCTGGACACAGTGACTCAGTCTCATCAGTATCAATCACATTTAAAGGAGATAAAGTCATCTCGGGATCACTCGATGGAAATGTCAAAGTTTGGAACACAGACCAGTCAAGCCAGTAAGTCTAGCTAATATCAAGAGGACATCATAATAAATCTATAAAATTTTTGTGTACACCTCAGTTTTAATGCAATTTTACAAGCAGGCACAATTCAATTTATTTAATTAATTTCAGATGCAAAGGTGAGCTGCTCTTCACTCTCCTTCATTCCAATAAGAAGAAGTCTCTTGTTGATCCAGTCCTTTCTCTTGCACTGGCTACTGATGATGCTTCACTCTACATTGGACTTAAGAGAGCTGGGGTCATTGTAATGGACATTGTTTCTGGACAAGTTCTAAGGAAATTCTCTTCAATAGGAGAGCCAGTATATTGCATAGCACTGGTGGAAGACAATGAAAACAAGTATGTGGTGAAAATAATTAGTATAGTTTAAAGCTTTTGTGAATCTTATTATTTTATCTGCAATTTCTGCTCTTAGCAGACTTTTGTGCAGCTATATATAATTGCTTGCAAACCTACAGTATTATAGCAACACTGTTAGTATTTCTTTCCATTCACATGCATGTATACAGTTGTTGTGTTGGTGTGATCCTCTCAACTGGTGGGATGCTAAGAATTATTGATCCTATCACTGGTACTGATGAAGGCTCAGTCCCAAATACCACAAAACTTGAAGGGAAGAGAATGATCAGTTCTGGACCTAATAAACAGCAGACAAGGTTAATAGTCTATAGTATTGTTTAATTATTATTATTATTATTATTTCTGGTTTTACCTAGCTTTGCAAAGGAAGAGTTACTTACTAATCCAGTCCATGAAACAATAAGTTTTGCTAATAATGGATCTCTCGCTGTGATTGGTACTTGTTTTGGATCAATAGAAGTCTGGCAGTTGGAGAATCCATTAGATAATGACACTAGCAGCATAAGTCTCAATAATGCAGTGAAGTCTTTAGTCCATTCTCCATGTGGCTCCTACATATTCTCAGCATCAGAGGAGCCTCCAATTGTTAATGTATGGCAGTCAGATGAGCTAACTCAGCCACAAGCTTCATTAGACTACAATAATAACAGACCAGTGTTTGTACGGCCTCTGTCTGATTCTATACATCTTCTTGTTGGATATGAAGAAGGTGCTGTGCTCCTCTGGAATACAGCAACTCAGTCCATAGAAAGAGAGTTCCAAGGTCATGGAGCTGCAGTGACATCCATTGATGTAACTGTTGCAGAAGATTTGGTTTTATCCGGAGATAAGGATGGCAATGTTTTCGTTTGGAATTTCATTCATGGAAAAAAGTTGAGGCATTTTAAAGAGCATTCTTCTGGTATTGTGAGTGTCTCGTTTTATCAGCAAAAATACATGACATCAGCAAATGAAGATGGTTGCATTATAGTAAAGGACTTTAGAACAGCTACCATACTGTACAACAAAACACCTCACAGAGGTCACTTATCAACACTGACAGTCTCCAGAGTTAGGTGTTTTGATGCAGTGACTGGAGGGTATGAGAATGGAATTATTAAAATTTGGAAACTACCCAGTATGGATGAGCTGTGCTGTCTTGGAGGACACACTGGAACTATATCAGGAATTCACTTCATACCGAGTGAATCTTTTGATGTGATAGGCTGTATATCAACTTCAAAAGATAACAGCATTAAGATATGGAATGTGAAGGAGACTCAATGTATGGCAACTCTTTATACAGATTATCCAGTTGTAAGCTCAGCCTTAAGTCCATCAAAACAGCTAACAACATTAGCCTATGGATCTTCTTATAATGGATACATTGGGATAATCTGGTATGACTTTAGTACTACTGATCAAGATAAGGGCACTCGTAATCCTGTACTAGAGTTGCTGGCTGGTCATAAAAATGATTCACACACAATCCCACAGCAATGAAGTGGCTGGTATTACAAATGACCTCTTTTAAATATGAAAATAAAAACAAACATAAAATGTAATAAAATGCATACTTGATACATATTAATGACAGTGCAATATTTATACAATAATAATAATAATAATAATAATAATAATAATAATAATAATAATAATAATAATAATGATAATAAATTAATAATAATAATAATAGCTGTCGTTGATTGCTAGTTTAAACTGTGTCAAGTTCATGTTGATTGTGATCATCCAGCAAATCATACAAATTGTCTGGTAAAGGAGAGTTTGATTCTATTAAGTTAATGTAATGTGAGAGTCCTTTTCTAATATCCAAGAACAATGGCCTATTGTGATAGAGAGAGAGTAACACAAAAATCAGGCAATGTAAGCTTGTTATAGGGAGTTCGGCTCTACTAATTTAAGTTCTTTAGTTTAATAATTTTAAAATGAAGTCATTAATTAAGGCATCACTTTAATTTAGAAAAAACTCTAAGGACCCTTCACTAAACAAATGGTAAAACCTTGCTAGGATCTCATCAATACCTTTCCTCAGGGTTGAGAGAAGTACATTGAACTGCTAAGTTATAAAACAGCAAAGGACAATCTCCTCTCATCTCTCGGAACTTTAACTCGTCAAGACCGAACGACTAAAGACCCAAATAAGAGAGAAAAAATACAATAAAACTAAAATAATTTTAATTGTTACATTTAGTCTTGGCAGCTCGTCTGGGTCAGATTTTACACGACTAATAATCTATTAATAGCAACAAAAGAATAATAGAAATCTATTAATAGTAACAACATTACTTCGCAAAGAACTATTCCAAATGAAAATATGTCCACAGTTTCATCATAGTCTTGACCTGATGGAAATAAAAACAATTAAATATTAATTAATTAATGATGATTATTATTATTACCTTTTAGCATTTCTGGTGCCATCCAGTAAGGAGAGCCAACAACAGTCATCCTAGATCTATTGTTCCTGTGGGGAGAGATGTATCAGTACAGTGGAAATGTATCAGAAGAAATAATAAAAATTGAGTTTTTTCTTTTTCAACTCTGGCAAAATTTGGCATAAAACCGTGTCCTATAGTACAGGGACTCTGACCAGGTTTCAAAGCAACTTTAAAAGTTTGCCGACAAGAAGCTGAGCAGTGTACAAAATTCACGCAGTCATTGTTACCTTTTCTTTGATTTATCGTTTGAGAAATCAAGCGGATAAAATACTCGAGCTAGCCCGAAATCAGCTACTACAGCTCTTGAGTTCTTAAGGGGAGGAGGAAGAGGAGGAGCATAAACTAATATTAATAATAGTAATATTATACTTGTACCTCTCTCAGTAGGCAGTTCTTTGATGTGAGATCACGATGAATGATACCTTTGTTATGTAAATACTCCTGCAGTATTAATAATAATAATAATAATAATGATAATAATAATAATAATAATAATAATAATAATAATAATAATAACAATATTAATAATAATAATAATAATGATAATAATAATAATAATAATAATAATTGTTCTCAACTTATTACTTTGTTCTTATTGTTCACTTCCCACACTCTTCCCCCCCTCTCTCTCTCTTTCTCTCCCTCTCTCCTTTCTTTCTTTCTTTCTTATTATTACTGGTACTATATATTGTCATTATTTTTCTCCCCTATCTGTATCTCTAACCTATCCTACATTTGTATTTTTGTCAATACGTAATAATATTGTTATGGTTAAAAAATTATTATTATTATTATAATCATGATGATGATGATGATGAAGGTATGATTACCATTCCAGCTGATATGTCAAGAGCAATTTGAATCCTCAGTTTCCATGGAAATGGAACATCCTAATAAGATTCAAGTTTCAAACTAAAGACACACAAATTAAAAGTACCTTTTTCTTTATTCTTTTTCTTAATGTACCACCACCAATAAATTCTAACAAATAAATAAATTAATAATAATAATAATAATAATGATAATAATAATAATAATAACAACAACAACAATAATAATAATAATAATAATTTGTATATACCAGTAATTAATGTGAGAAGTTTATCTTCTTGATACAAAATTCCTATGAATTTCAACAAGTTTGGATGGTGCAATCTCTTTAACACAGCTACCTATGGGAAGAATGCAACCAGCAAAAATTTAAGAAGCAGCTGATTGGTTCAAAATATATGTTACAATATATAAAGTTTATAACTTAAAAAATACCCAAGGCCATGGTTTTTTTTCAAAAAATGGCTGAAAAATCACCCCCAATTTTTATTACATTTTCTGATACATATTGATGTACTTATGTTGTGTAGCAAGTTTGAGATGATTCTAAATTAAAGTTTTCAAGTTACGACTATTTTAAGAAAATGCCAAAAATCTGAAAAATACCCAAGGCCATGGTTTTTTCAAAAAATGGCTCCGAAATCAACACAAATTTTTATTACATTCTCTGACACATATTGATGTCCTTATGCTGTGTAGAAAGTTTCAGGAGATTCCGACTTCAATTTTTCAAGTTACAGCCATTTTAAGAAAACGTCAAAAATCTGAAAAATACCTAAGGCTATAGTCCATGGTTTTTTCCAAAAAATGGCTCTGAAATCACTCCAAATTTTTATTACATTTTCTGATACATATTGATGCCCTTATGCTGTGTAGAAAGTTTGAGGTGATTCTGACTTCAATTTTTTAAGTTACGGCCATTTTTTAAAAAAGTCAAAAATCTGAAAAATACCCAAGGCTATAGCCCATGGTTTTTTCCAAAAAATGGCTCCAAAATCACCCCTAATTTTTATTACATTTTCTGATACACATTGATGTCCTTATGCTGTGTAGAAAGTTTGAGGTGATTCCGACTTCAATTTTTCAAGTTACGGCCATTTAAAGAAAACGTCAAAAATCTGAAAAATACCCTGTACTATAGCCCATGGTTTTTTCCAAAAAATGGCTCCGAAATCACTCCAAATTTTTATTACATTTTCTGATACATATTGATGCCCTTATGCTGTGTAGAAAGTTTGAGGTGATTCTGACTTCAATTTTTTAAGTTACGGCCATTTTTAAAAAAAGTCAAAAATCTGAAAAATACCCAAGGCTATAGCCCATGGTTTTTTCCAAAAAATGGCTCCAAAATCACCCCAAATTTTTATTACATTTTCTGATACACATTGATGTCCTTATGCTGTGTAGAAAGTTTGAGGTGATTCCGACTTCAATTTTTCAAGTTACGGCCATTTAAAGAAAACGTCAAAAATCTGAAAAATACCCTGTACTATAGCCCATGGTTTTTTCCAAAAAATGGCTCTGAAATGGCCCCAAATTTTTATTACATTTTCTGATACATATTGATGTCCTTATGCTGTGTAGAAAGTTTGAGGAGATTCCGACTTCAATTTTTCAAGTTACGGCCATTTAAAGAAAATGCCAAAATTCTGAAAAATACCCAAGGCTATAGTCCATGGTTTTATCGGAAAAAAGGCTCCGAAATCACCTCAAATTTTTATTATATTTTCTGATACATATTGATGTCCTTATGCTGTGTAGCAAGTTTGAGTTGATTCCGACTTCAATTTTTCAAGTTACGGCCATTTTAAGAAAATGTCAAAAATCTGAAAAATACCCAAGGCTATAGTCCATGGTTTTTTCCAAAAAATGGCTCTGAAATCACCCCAAATTTTTATTACATCTTCTGATACATATTAATGCCCTTATGCTGTGTAGCAAGTTTGAGTTGATTCCGACTTCAATTTTTCAAGTTATGGCCACTTTAAAAACAACTGACCTCTTTCCTAAAAGTTTTCTTTGCTTCTTCAGTGCAATTCCTCATCTCTTTCATCACCATCACTTGCTCTGTGTATCGATGAGTCACTTTAATGACGTTACCATAAAAACCATGACCCAGGACCTCTCCGATAATGAGGTCATGAAGTCTGAAGCAGCTGGTGTAGCCGGCCCTACCATCAATGACAGGAACTGATTGGGCTCTTCGTGATCGGACAAGCCTTGGGACTGGAATAGCAGCTGTACCATGAGACACTGGTACAGGGTTACTAGGAACATTGAGAGATTTAGTAAGACTGAAAGAGAGAGAGAAAAAAGTACATAAAAATAAAATAATAAACGATAAATGAACCTACTCTAGATCATAATCAGGATTAGATAATCCTGAAGAACTAAGCGAAGGTCTTAGCTTTGGTTTATAACTACCTGTACCTCAATAAAGAGAGAGAGAGATTAGAGAGTAGACATATGTAACTCATGAATCTACATGTACATATATTTCAGGCAAAAAGACAATTCCTTACTAGTTTGAGAGCTCTGACTGTTCTCAGGTACAGCTGGTAATGATCCGTTAACATGCAGTGTATTACTGTCAGCTGCTTCTCCTAATGGAGGCTTATGATGAGCAGGAGAAGAAACAGACTGTATAAAAATTAACAATAATAATTAATTTTATCATAAATTACATGTATTTCTGATGTAACATCAAGTTCAGAGGAAGTTGAGTTTTGAGATACCAAATGATTAGACGAGCCTTTGTCATGTGACTGGTTTGAGTTTCTCTCTATCATCAGATAGAGACAGTCATCATAGACCTCCATTAAATTATTGATCTATTAAGACAAAAACAATAATAATAATAATAATTATTATTATTATTATTATTACTTCTTCCTGATTCTGATTGATGATTGGTATTTCATTAATTTCCATTATAATATCACCTGATTTCAACGGAGTTCCTATCAGACTCCGAGGAAGCCTAAAAATATTAAAATAAAACCAAATCAAAGATACAATGTATATCAGTAATCACGTCTTCTTCTTTACGAATGCACAATGTTGCTATAGAAACTAACTTTTCAATTTTGAGGACTTTTTTCTTATAACTGGTCTTCTGGTTTGGATTTGGTAACTGAGGAGGAGTGAAGTCTTTAATGGAGAGCCTCTTCTTCTCTCCTTCTGCAGGAGGGAGACCATCCAGTCTAAATCGGACTCTCCTTTGAAGAGTAACTTTGATCTGTTGTATTGATACGTAGACCGTCCTTCCAGAGTTAGTCTTGACTGGAGATATCATTCCATTAATGCATGAATCAGAAATACTGCAGTCATTACTACAGTAAAGAAGAAGACATTCCTGTATAATAGGTTTGTATGGTATGATGGGAGCTATGTACCAGAGTATGTCTTTTGTGTTCAGTAGACAGTATATGTCCTTCTCTCCAAGTGTAGTCTCACAGACTGTGCAATGAAAGCATTCAGGATGATACATTCTAGAGAAACCCACAGCCTATCAGCAAGAAGGAACAGCTAGTGGAGTGCAGCTTTAAATGCAAATAAAGGTACATGACATGCAATTAACACATTCTAACTGCAAAATAATGATTACACGGAATACATGCAAAAGTTTGCAAATGTAAAGTTTATAAGGAATGCATAGAGGAGTCCAGTAGAGTATAACTTTGGTGCTTCTTTCTGATATGGCAACATGTGCTCACCATTGTTGGTCCTGTTATATAGTCAGAGCACTGGTGGCATTTGTGTGAGAGTCTCTTAAAGAAGTCATCCTTGCAATATGAAAGACCATCTTCCTCATAGTAACACTCAGGGAGGGTCACATGACAGACTGTGCACCTAAAGAATATAAAAATCAACAAAAATGTTAGCAAAGCACCTATTGCAGTCTATAATTAGACTGTTACTATTTTTAGAATCATGCAACTATACCTGAAACACTCCAGGTGCCACATTCTACCCATTGCCTCCAAAACTTCTACATCCACTGGGCACTGACAAGAATAACATATTATACCTATAGAATAGAAAGAATTTGAGATATTTACATGTTCATTAATTATAGAGGAGGTTGATTTCTTTACAAAAGAGACTGTAAATTATGAGAATGAGGAACTAAAATATTTTAAAGACTTTAATTCTCTCTGCTGCCTCTTTCAAACCTGAAACTGTATCGTTTGTGCTCTCTGATCAAGGATAACTACGCAAACAGTTTTAATTGCTACTAATTGCATAATATTTGTATATAGCTTTCTATCCTAATTTAGATAAGACACAATACTCACAATCATAATTCTAAAATAAACATCAAATAATATCCAAAAATACAACAACATTAACTCAAAATCGGCAAACAATAAACAAACAGTAAAACTTCTGCCTACTGCAATGCAAAGCAGATAGCACTGCCATTGGGGTTGAGCCTCCCTTTGCAATTAAATGTTGCAAAAATTAACACCTCCTGCAAAGGAAAGTGGAGGGAGTATATTATGGTCTCAAGTTTTAAATGCTAAATTTGCTAATTTAATAGACTATTGATATTAATATGCAACAGACATTGATCTTTAGTGCTGATCCTCCTTGTTGGAGTGTGTGGCTCAAATGAAGTGCCAGAGCTTTGTCTCTGATGAATTGGCGAGCCTGAAGGAGACGCCTAGCATGGGAGAGGAAGAGAGAGGAGGGAGTATTTAACACAAGAACCGATGTAGCTAGAATAACAAACCATTAATAAAAATCTACAGCCAGTCACTACACTATACAAGAAGGAATGTAATGGCTTGTTGTGTCTTGTTCGCTTGTAAACAGATTTTCTGCAGTGAAAGGGCAGTCAAGTAAAAAGACATCAAAAGCACATCAATAAAAAGAGGTGGTGTCAGAATCAATAAAAGTAGGTGGGGCCACCACGCCTACTAAACGAGGCGGTGTTGCTCCACCCAAACAGGAAGTGGGCATTAGTTAGAGTAAGTAGGTGTGGCTTGAGCATTAATTAGAAAGTTGCTGTGCTTTTATAAAGCCACCAACACTCTTCGCTCTCCCTCTCCTTCTCTCTTTTTCTCGTTAGTGCAAGGAGGCTTTAAAAAGAGGAGCAGAGGCTCTTATTATCTCCCCGATCACTGGAACACTGATGTCGCTACAAACGCTCGAGCGAAGCTCTCCTTCTCCACAAGAATCCATCAGCGTAAGGCCACTTCTACCAGCTCTTGTAGCTCCTTCTCTTACTTGCAAAGAGGCCACGCATTAGAATGAGCCTTGAATTCCTGAATTGTAGTATTTATCAAGTTTACTTAGTCAGGATATTGTGGTTTTGCCAAACAGGAGTAAAATAATGTATTAATCAATACATATAATGATACATGTGCCTCTACTTGTATTAATACTGTTTGGAGGTAAATTCTCTTCTAGCCAGAGGAAGGGAGGATGAATTTGAGCCAAGCTTGCGTGTACAATATATGTAGTTTATTTATTTATTATTATCATTGTTATTGTTGTATTTAAAAGATATATTTTTATTTTTTAAACAGGAAAGTGAAGATCAAGGATCTCTCTCCAGTTATGAAGGATTCGTCTGCAGAGAAGGTTGCGCAATATGTCTCACGCCAAGACCAGGAGCCAGCGTTGGAAAACACAAAGGTATTGTTTGTAAATACATGTACATGCACCTACATGTAGGACAGTTTATTATTACTGGTAAGTGATACGTATCGTACTTGTATTAATATGATGTTTAACAGCTGGTTTTGGGTCTCTGGTATATCAGTTTGAATCAACTGGCATATTAGTTTATAAGATCAATTGATATCAGTTTGAATCACATGTACTGTATGATAATGTACAGTACAGTACATGTACATGTACATGCTCACACAAATCATATTCCATCGATTAGTGGATACAGTATTTAATGGATGAGGTCCGTTGAGTTGTTGTGGATGATTAGTGTTGTACTAAATGAAGTGTGAAACAACCACCAGCCAGTCAATATTAGCTATTAATAAGACACACAGAGTCAGTCAGTCAGTGCTGATTATTATCATAATACTGTTACTGGATAATAAATAATAATTGATCGTGTGTCTGTACACACATTCCTCCTCCTCCTCCTCCTCTTTCCTCCTGTTAGTGTACGGGGTACATATGTACCTAATGGAATAGAACACAATTAGAATGAAATTTAGTAGGAGAGAGAGAGAGGGAGAGGGAGAGAGAGAGAGAGAGAGAGAGAGAGAGAGAGAGAGAGAGAGAGAGAGAGAGGGAGAGGGAGAGAGAGAGGCAGAATTAAGGTTTATGTACATTTATTTATTATAATCATTTTGTTTTTAAAGTTAAAGGTCATCATTTGTTGCTCTATTCCTTTCAAGTCTCTCGAGTTTATTAGGAACCAATTCCTCACCATGGCAACCATGACATCACAGATGATGTTATATGCCCTTTAATAAATAATAATAGTAATAATAATAACGGTGATCATTATCATACAGTAGCCTAAGTATAATAGGATTGTATTTCTTTCAATAGCCTTATCTTCTGAGTCATCCTTTCTTTCTTTTGTTGCTTCTCTCCCTCTCTCTCCCTCTCTCTCCCTCTCTCTCTTTTCCTCATGTTATGATAACAAATTTGTTAGCATCAAAACACTACATGTAGTGTATAGTTATTATGGAGAATTGATGGATGGAGAATGCAACCATCTACAGCACACAGTCCATGTACTGTATATCTACACGTACATGTACATGTACGTGTGTGTGTGTGAACCACTTCCACTCCTACATATGTGAACATGTATATACATGCCTTCTTTGTAATAGTATCTGCCTTCTTAGTGATTTATAGTACAACATGGTGGCCCCTTCTCTTTCCCTCCCTCTCTCTCCCTTTCCTTATACAGATGTGCAGTATGGCACAATAGTAACTGTAGATAATTATAATAATAACACAATAATCACTTGTACTGATACATTAGTCACATTGAGCTCCTTTCAATAAAGAGAAGTGTTTCCGTGTTATGTTAATGATTGAATGAGATGAATGAAACCCACCCAGCTGCATTGGCTAAAAATTATGAGTGTCTGCCCGTCATAATTTTGATTGCTTACCCATCATAATTTTGATTTGTTGACTCTATGCATGTAGATATAGATGCCTTTGTTCTCATGTAAACATGTGTTCATGTTATGTGTTTGTGTTTTATATTTTGTGGCTGCTTTTCTATGAATAAAATGTTTGTGTTGTGATTTTGATTAATATCATCTTTGAAGCTTCTCTTTGTTTATATCTCTCTCCCCCTCACCTTCTCTCTCCCTCTCTCTCTCTCTCCCTCTCTCTCCCTCTCTCTCTCAGGATCACTTCGTATCATGAATCATTTGAGAAAACTCAATAAACTAATGCGACCACAAGATGCAATTCGATTGGTAAGAACACAGCTGTACATGTACATGTACATGTACATATCTATTTTTATTGTTTATTGATTGTTGTTGTTATTGTTTGATTGTTGTGTGCACCTTTTCCTTTGTGTGACTACGTACATGTACACATGTAGAGCTGCTCTTGTGATGTCTTTGAACATTGATTTCTGGTTACAAGTTTAAAGCTGTTGTGGTAATTACTGATAATTGTGTTAAATAATGTCACTTGGAAATCAATTCTGACACCTGAAAATGGTCATAATAGCAGCTGCAATGAAAACAGTCCTTAACTATTGAGTATCACATACCCCTCTTTCTTTCTCCCTCTCCCTCTCTCTCTCTCTCCCTCTCCCTCTCTCCCTCTCCCTCTCTCTCTCTCCCTCTCCCTCTCTCTCTCTCTTTCTCTCTCCCTCTCCCTCTCTCTCTCTTTCTCTCTCCCTCTCCCTCTCTCTTTCTTTCTCCCTCTCTCCTCTCTCTCTACAGGGAGTTGAATTAGAAAGGTGTACTGTGAGACCAGTAACTAGGTACATGGTTGTCATATCGACCCAGGGAGTGCAGGATACTGAGGAAACCATTGTACTAGGAACTGAACAATCTGCAGACGTGTAAGAATAAATAACCATTAATAACCATTAATAACCATTAATAACCATTAATAACTATTAATAACAATTAATAACCATTAATAATCATTAATAACCATTAATAACTAGTGGTTGGAATCAGCTAAGACATTCTACTGGTATTATGATTGTTCTCTTATGTTTGTTTAAGCAACTTTTGGAGAAAAGCAAAGACTATAGCTCATGGTTTTTCCAAAAAATGGCTTTGAAATCACTCTCAATTTTATTACATATTTGATAACCTTGTGCTGATTCTAACTTGTATATGTACATGTACGTGTACATGTACGTACAAACTTATATGTGCAGCTGTAATTCATGTATTTTTTAAAATGTAGTATCAAGATTTGTCTGGTCCTGCCCCTATGGAGGAACACTGAGATTAAACTGGATGGTGATGGGTAAGGAAAAGAGTCATGTGAGTCTCATGTGACATGTCTCCTCCTCTTTCTAGCGGTTTCAGTGTCCATTGTCAGGACAAGCACCACATGTTAAAGCCACTCTCCGTCCAAAGCATGTGGTAAGACACTGTACACTGTACAGCTGCTAATCATGTACTGTACTGTGGGTTGTTTGTATTGGAATATTGCCAAACCTCACATACTGTACATGTACATGAACTTGGTAATTCCCGTTAGTAAGGTCTGTTTATTGTACTATTAATGTTACATCTACATGTGTGTGTGTACATGTATATGTGATGTATTGGGAAAGTTTAAAGGTGAAGCTTTGATTAGTTTTGGTTGATTGCCAAGTGTCACATAGTGATGAATGGAGAGAGAGGGAGAGAGCAACAGAACTACAGGTGCATGTATTTATACAATATAATGTACACTTATAATGTACAGCGTATATGTACATGTATATGTACATACCCTTCCTTCCTGTTCCAATCAATACTTCCCATATCAAGTTCCTCTCCTGCTCCATCATCCGTTACAATTCCTGTATTAATGACCAGCTGCTCTCTTCTCCTCTAGGACTGCACTCCAGTTCCTGTTCAAGGCTACAGAGCAGGCCAGGTCTTATAATTACTATGATGGAGGACTCTCACACACTTGGATGACTTTTTACCAGGCACAACTCACTGACGATGGAATAGCTTTAAACGAATGGTAAGTATATGTACACGTACATGTATTTCAATCCCTCTCTCTTTTAGGAGACTTCAAGGCTCTTTATTATCATTCCGTCCAGATTCCCCAATATACTATGACGTTAAAGGTCTTGCTGACTGGACACAACTGTAAGCATGTACATTGTACATGTATTTATTATACATTATTATTATTATTGTTGTTGTTGTTGTTATTATTATCATTTATATTTTCAGAGATGCAGAGAAAAGAGCTTTCAAAGATACATTAATACAAAAACTCCGAGATGTACGTTAATAAAAACAACACTCCTTCTTAACACCTCCCTCCCCCTCTCTCTCCCCCTCTCCCTCCCTCCCTCCCTCTCTCCCCCTCTCTTTCTCTCCTAAGGTTATGTTACACTTGGATCTTGACACAGCCTCAAGCCGTCAGATCAGGCAGCAGCTGGAGAATGAGATGATGATGAACCTGAAGGAGTACCGCGGGTTCCTCGACCAGCAAATGTTGTACATTGTCGGGCAACTGGAGGAACCCTCTAAAATACATGAATACCTTTATCTTGTGAGATTTGATTATTTTAATTAATTATTTGTTTATTTATTTATTGATTTATTAGGGTACTGAGTGGAATGCATCTAATTTACTTGAACTGAAGGAGATGGGGTAAGAGGATTCAAAAGTAGAGAATTCTCCATTTTTATTGCATTTTCTGATACATGTACATGTACTTATGTTGTGTAGAAGTTTTGAACTGATTCCAATCAAGTTTGGATTTTTAAGATACATGTATTATTTCTATATTGTAGTGTGGAGTACATTTTGAATATGACAAAAGAGATTGACAACTTTTATCCAGAGTCATTCAAATACAAAACAATAAGGTAAAGGAGGGAGTGTGGGGGAGAGAGAGAGAGGGAGAGAGTGTGAGAAAATATGCAGATATTTTAAGCTACACATCAATTGCTTGTACAGTACATGTACATGTACTTCTATATGGTCGTGTGCATGTACATGGTAATCCTCATGTAATGTGATACGAATAATTATGTGTGAAGTATGCATCAGTGTGTGCAAGAGCAATCTATCAAAGGTATCTTGTTCCATGTACAGTATATTTACTGATGTACCATGTGCCTATACATGTACATATGTTCATGTATTAGTTTCTTTATGGTATAGAGTGTATGATCTCCCTGAGAGTGAGTTACTGAAGCATTGGGATGACACTTACAAGTTTATCAAAGAAGTCAAGTAAGCACAACAACAACAACAACAACAACAACAACAATGATAATGATACTTTTATTTATTTACATGTATTTTATAGAGAAAGAAAGTCTAAGCTGTTAGTTCACTGTAAGATGGGCATCAGTAGATCAGCAGCTACTGTGAGTCCTTTATATCTTTTACATAAACTTGTACTGTTTCAATGATCATTTTGCTCTCTCCCTCCCTCCCTCCCTCTACAGGTCATAGCTTACACTATGAAGGAGTATCGGATGTCACTGGAAGATGCTCTCTCCTTTGTCAGGTCCCAAAGGTCTTGCATTAAACCCAATCACGGGTTCATGTCACAACTCAAAGCTTACGAAGGAATTTTGAAAGCCAGGTGCTGTACATGTACATGTAATTGAGAGAATGAGAACTGAACGTGCAGTACATGTACATTTGTATGTTGCATTTAATTATTTATTAATAGTGTCAGGGCATTCATTGAGAGTACACAGTATTGATACACTCAACTTTACCCTTTCAAAAATTGCCTGGATATTACCAAGTCCAAAACTCCAGCTTCTCACAAATTGTGCCAGGCAGTGCTGTCCTTATAAAGGATACTTTTAGTAAAGGCTATCGTGGGTCGCACTTACAATTAACGTGTAATGATATTCATATTCAAAAACAAGCTCTTATACTAACTACATGTACATGTACATTGTTATTAAATATTTTATCATTATTTTTATTCTACAGATACAATGATCTCTTTGGTACTCAGGCTCCAAGTCGCATTACATTTCAATCTCGCTCAAGCTCAGATCCTAACATCAGACAGAGACTCTTCGTTAACGAGGAGGAGCTTGAAATACAATTAGCAGATGGGGAGAGAGGACAGGAGACACCTCAGGACGCCCATGAACATAACGAGGTTGAAGACGAACCTCCTCAAATGCGTCCAGTCTCAGCTGGAACCCACCCTCCTTTAAACTCAACTAAGACGAGTCCGCTACAAATCCCCCTGGTACTTGAGTCCCGAGTCCATCAGTCCCTCCCTCCAGAGAAAGCCGAGGGAATGATGAATTACTTAGAGTCCCTTGATACTCACCATATTGAGGACGAGAGGGACCTTGGTATCAATGATCCGTCTTCCTCTGAAAGTGAATCACCATTCTCTTCTCCTCCTTTCACTCCTCCTGATGAAGATGGAATGACTTTCCAGCGCTACACGTCAACCATTAAATCAATGAGAAAGACAGAGACTAGCCATAACTCCTCTGACGTGTTGGCTGCCTCTACCCTCTCTCCTAATGATTCTGTTCACAGCCGAGTTGCTAGGGCAACCAGTTTACCCTCGTCCCTTCGACCATCGTCCGCTTCCGAGAGATCGTATCCTAGCAACCAGTTGAGCCCTTCGAAACGAAGTTTGACATCACAAGAAAAGTTAAATGAGGTTGGGGAGGAGGAGGTGGGCGGGGCTGATATGGAGGTGGGCGGAGACAAGGGTGAGGGAAAGGAGCAGATTAACCCGACACTTATTACAAGCGTGACCAATCGAATTAAAGAAATTGAGAAAATGAATAACAGACCATCTAGTGCTGGTAAGCGGAGCAATCTAAGTCGCGCCTCCTCCGAAGAATCCTTACCTTCATGTCAATCAAGAGACGTACATGTACATGTATCGGACGTACATGAAACCACGCCCTCTCCGATACAAACAGAACAACCGATAGTCAACGAGTCATCAAACACTACAGAAGTGTTGGCTAAGGAGGTTGTGGGTGGAGCTGATATATCTACTTGTGATTCTCCTAATACTAGATACCAAAGAGCAACAAAAGCTGCTTCAATGCTCGGACAGAAACGCTCAGCACTATCAAGCCCTGAGGCTAATAACCCACCAACAGGAGGCGGAGCTGTTAATGCTATCAGTGATGAAGGAGCTGTACCTCAAGAAAGAGAAGGAGGGGAGGGAAGCAAGGGGGTACGTGAACTACTGGGCGTGTTTGATAAGCAATCATCTACCAAAGGAGGAGGAGGAGAATTGAAGCGGACGTCATCACTTCGTGGCTCTACTGATGTAGTACATCTTTTATCACACAAGAGAGGGGCATCAATTGGAGATATTTAATGGATGGATTCTCTCTCTGGTGGCAGTTATTATTATTTTTGTTGTTTTTTTCTTGTGTTTCATATTAATCCTGTAACATTTAATTGACACAATTCATTTCTTAATTTTTCTCTTTCTCTCGTTTTATTTATTACTTCGTGTGTTTGCTGCACGTGTTTTAAGAATACGGAATTTTAAAGTTTGGATTTTAAAGTTTACTGAGAAAACAAAATGGCGGCTTTGTCAGTGTACAGTTTTTTGAGTGGATTGGGATTCTTAGTATCAGTATATTCTGTGGTAATAGAACACGCAAAGTTGGAAGATGATTCTTATTCTCCTCTGTGTGACATTAATGAGAGGATATCCTGTACAGCAGTATTGACTTCAGAGTAAGTTTTGTTCAAGACATAATGTTAACGGGGAAAAGTGTGCATATGTATCGAAAATGAAAATGTATTAGTGTTTTGATACAATTATTGTAATCACATTTTCATTTGCATTAACATAAAGTATTAGTTTATTATAATTATGCATAGATACAGTTATGGTTTTGGAATAGTTGAACTGATTCTCAACAAAGATCATTTCTTAAATCAACCTAACTCTTACTATGGAGTCCTATTCTATCCCCTTCAGTTCATCATTGGTACGTTATAGATAAGTCACAGATGTTGAGGGTTACTGGATATATATACACAATGATGTTATTTGATTAGAAGTTGAGGTGGTGCCAAGGCTTCTAATCAACTAACTTCGAAGTGTATTAATTCAGTAACACGAAACAGCTTTATCTGGTTTATACTATAGTGTGTGGGTGTGTGAAGGGACTGTTGTCTGACTACCAGTATCTATAACTGCCCTCCTCTCCTGTGGTCTCCACTATATAAACTAGTGGAGGTGACTTTGGTACACCCACACACTATAGTACAATATACCTATACCCTAGTCTGTATTACTTATACCCTAGTCTGTATTACTTCTAATTGATGCAGGTTTGTACATACTAGAGAGCAAAGGATTGCTGTCATTATCTGCACTGCTTAACACTGGAGTCAGTGCTGTGTCCCTATACTTGATGTACTTGTTGTTTTTTGTCATTAATAAAGTCTGTTTGGTTTGCCTTGTCATTAACAGCATTAACTTCTTCTTATTGATTTATTCTATTGCTGCACTCTTGAGGAAAAAAGAGAAAAATAAAAAGGAATAAAGACAAAGAGCTTATATTAAAGAAAGCAAACTGGTATTTTGCAACATTTTGAGACTACAACTGCAGAACTTTTGTAATTTATACATTTTTAATTTGCAAGAATCTATTTAAAGCACGTCTATGTAGTGACAGAAATTGAGTTAATTTGTCAAATAGTTAATATAATAATAAACTAGAGGTTTTATTAACACACGAATTATGTTAAAATATCAATTACAACAAGAACAGACTAAAGTAGCTTAAGGACAGATACAGTGAATGAAACTTTTGCATTACAAAAAAACAAAAAATTGAAAGGGTAAGTATTGACACGTCAACTTTAGATTAATTAATATAATAATAACAAAACACAAAAAGAAGTAATAATAATAACACTAGAATAGTTATCTCTTTGTTTTCTATTCTTTTCCTCCAGCTGCTACTGAGGACATTTGACCGCCTCCACTGACGTCAGGGGTACGCATTACATCAGGTAAATCTGGTGGTGTGGAGTAAGGGGTAATGTCAAAATTCTCATACTCTCCATCTAAAGGAGGAGGAGAGATTACAAGAGGAACATTAACGGTCTCTACAGTTAATTAGTGTGCATCAAGAGTGGATAATTATTGGATAGCAATAGTGAAAGATTTAAAAGTTAAAGTGATGATGCATATATTAATAAAAGAGCTTATAATACTGATCTTCCTTATAAGGTAAAGGGGACAATGTCAGAGGCAGGCCAGAGGTGCTAATGCAGACTGCTAAAGGCAAACAAGAGGTGTCAAAGCAAAATGACCTCCTGCAAATTTAATAAACATACTAATTAAAATCTAGCCTTAACCACAGGATTTCTCCTAAAAACCCTGTACTCATCAACGTCCTAACTAACATCAAGCTCTTAGCATTAGTTGTGTGTTATACCTATTTTCAATCTTAGTCCAATTTGTGACGGATCCTGAGCCTTTGAGTTGGAAGACTTGTACCCACAGTCCCCCAGCGTACGGGTGTCATCCAGGGCCTCGTTGGTGTCCATTTTATACAACTGAATCTCATCGGGTGGTCTCTTTAGTATCGCCTCGAGCGTCTTCTTTAACTGAGTGACGGTGGTCTCCTCTGTGGCGTCCAATAGTATCGTCTGCTTCTTACGACGGATCATTAAAAACACGTCCTAAATCATAGTATAGATGTACATATTGAAAACTTGAGTTACACCCTTTAATTAATATTGAAACATGTACATGTACATCCACACATTATTAATAGTAGGCCCCTCATTCTAGAGACAAATGGTTTTACAAAACTAGTATGAACGCACCATGATGCTTTTCTATAAGAGAGTACAGAGACACTAAGAGACTGAGGCAAGCAAGAGCAGATTCCAATTTCCAACTGGCCCACGTCCTTTCTCTAATTATACGTACAATTCAAATTTCTTCTCATTAATTTCATTGTGGGTGGTGCTGAGTAATTGACTAGTTATTAAAACCAGTTATTAAAATTGTTTTCAAAAAGCGGGAACTCTCAAAATGGCTACTCTTTCTGAAGAAGAAACAATAATACACGAGAGATTCCTCCAGTTGAAGTCAGCGGCCCTCACCCTACTAGAGGAGGGAGGGGGAAGGCTCTCAGACCAGAGGCTGGTTCGTTTAGGCTATGACTGTCTCTTGGACTCGCTGGAGTCCGTTTATAAGGAGTGCAGCAGCTCTGCCTCCCTCTCCAAGGACAAATATGTATCCCGGTTTCTGAAGAAATGTAATCATTAATTATATATCTTATATAAGATACCTTTGCAAATATACAGAATTAATTTGCCATTTCTTTGTTAAGTGCATGTATCACAGATGATATAGATATCATTGATCATTGCTTTCAGTTCCATCTGGAGTTGTTCAAATGCCATTTTCTTGTTTAAAGATGGGCTGTACATGAAACACCTGCTACTGTCCCTGCAGCATTAGGCTGTATTAAGAAACCATGCAACATTCAAAAAACCATTAAATAGTGTTTGGGGTCAATTATTAAACCATACTACTCTTATGTATTAACATGTAGTGCATGTACTTGTAATCATGTTTATCATTAAACTGTATTTTTTGTATCACCTTTTCCTCTTTTACTTTCTCTTTATAGATAAACCAGTTATGGAAGACTTTGATAAACTCAGGCTAAAAGAAACTGATTTCATTACGAAAGGAATAATTGGACAAGGACACTTTGGGGAGGTATACCATTAAACCATCTTTATGGAACCAGACTACATGTACATGTGCCTTTATTAGTAATGTATCTGTGTATCTGTATGTGTTTCTTTGTGATTTTCATTTGGGAGATAGTTTTGAATTTGAAACTTATGAATATAATAGGGTGTTGTGATAAATAACATCTCAATTAAGAGTACCTCTACACTCACTTTGATATACATGTTCATATACTGTATTGTAATGGTGATTATTTATTTATTTACATGTACATTTAAATGTATAGGTGCGTGTTGTTCAAGAGAAGACCACTAGTCAGATTTATGCTATGAAGATAATGAAAAAGACCCACATACTGCAACAAGCTGATGTAAGTACAACAACTACGATTATAAATGATGATGATAATAATAATAATAACAATAATAATAATAATAATAATGATGATGACTTTTGCAATGGTTGCATTTGATCGTAGGCTACCTTCTTTATTGAGGAGAGGGACATCATGGCCCTTGGTAACAGCCAGTGGCTCACCAAACTCCATTATGCCTTCCAGGTATGTACACTGTACACCCTTCATCCTCTTGATGTACATGTACACGTATATATTACTGTATATTACTGTATATTACTGTATATTACTGTATATTCCTGTATATTCCTGTATATTACTGTATATTACTGTATATTACTGTACGTGTATCTTCATAGGATGAGAAGTGTTTGTATCTAGTGATGGACTATCACCCAGGAGGTGACCTGTTTACAGTGATGGAGAGGAAAGAGATGGGGATGACTGAAGGAGAAGCTTGCTTCTATACAGCAGAGATCAGTCAGTAGTAGATTCTTTAATTATTTATCATCATTATTATTATTATTATTATTATTATTATTATTATTATTATTATTATTATTATTATTATTATTATTATTGAGATTGTTTTATTTCTTGTATTGTAGTATGTGCTCTTCATGATCTCCACCAGTTGGGGTTTGTTCATCGTGACGTCAAACCTGATAACGTCTTGATCACAAGATCAGGTCATATCAAGTTAGTTGATTTCGGATCAGCATCAAGACTGGATGAAAATGGGAAAGTGGTAAGTATAATAATTAAAATATACTTATTATTATTATCATTATCATTATTATTATTACTATCAATAGGTTGATTACACTCTTCCTGTGGGTACTCCGGAGTACATCAGCCCTGAAGTACTGACCAGTCTTGATAAGAAGTTAACGTACGGGGTCTCCTGTGACTGGTGGTCAGTCGGTATCATAATGTACGAGCTACTCTTCGAGGTGACTCCTTTTGAGGGAAGCACCACTGCTGAGACCTATGCTAACATCATGAGTTACCAGGTATGCCTAACTTAAGCTAAATTAAAGTGATAAATAATATCATCATCATCATTATTATTATCTATTTTATTATTGTTGTTGTTGTTAAAAATAGACTAGTTTACAGATCCCTGAGGAATTGTCTCCAGAGGCTCGTAGTTTGATAGAGTCCCTTTTAGTGAAGCCAGAGAAGAGACTGGAGTATCCTGACATCGTGAAGCATCCATTCTTCAAACAAGTGGACTGGAACAACATTGCATCAAGTAACGACCTTTATAAATATGAAAGAAATGATCATTATTTTATTGTTATTATTTATTAATTTTCTCTTCAGTGACCCCTCCCTTTGTCCCAGTTATTAAAGGTCCTACTGATACATCTAATTTTGATTCTTTTGATCCAGTGGATGATCCTGCTGATGCTAACATGACTTATAAAAGCTCCCGTTCCTTCACTGGCCGAGAACCTGCCATTCATTGGGTTCAGCTACACCAACTGGTCATCATACCACACTGGAGTAGAGGCACCTCATAATATTGGGTATATACTATTTATTTATTAATTTATTTATTTGTTTGTTTGTTTGTTTGTTTGTATGTTTTAGTATTAATGAACCTGATGATGTTCATGCTGTGTTAAAGAAATGTCGAGAAGAATTGAGAGCAGCCAATGAAGAGAAGAGAAGTATAAGACAGGAAAGTGACATATATAGGAAGCAAATGATGGTAATGGAATACTACATTATTATTATTATTATTATTATTATTATTATTATTATTATTATTATTATTATTATTATTATTATTATTATTATTATTATTGTTGTTGTTGTTATTATTATTATTATTATTATTATTATTATTATTATTATTATTATTATTGTTGTTGTTGTTGTTGTTGTTGTTGTTGTTGTTTTTAGGATTTGCATCGGAGGCTTGAGTCAGAGCGTAAAGAAAGAGGAACGTCCAATACCAAAGCACTGCAGCTGCTGGCTGAAGTTAGAGAAAATAATAAAATAGCAAAAGAAATGAGAGACACAGAGAACAAGTAAGCACATGACACAATATAGTTTTAATGCACAATATATATTTTATTATTTATTATATAAGAAAACGCCAAGAATCTAAAAAGTACCCAAGACTATAGCCCATGCATTTTTCCAAAAAATTACTCCGAAATCACCCCAAATTTTTATTACAT